GGAAGAAGAGAAAATCAAGGCAAGCTACTATATGGCGTACAGAATTATAGAAACTAATTGTTATTGATTGATTGCCAATATAAACCCAGAGAACATGCTGCTTACCAAATACTAAGGCAATTCTGTTAAAAAAATAAAATATATTAAAAATAAATATATTTTTAAAAGGTGGTTTTTTCCCCCTCTCCTTTCTCTTAAGCCACATAGAAGTTTTGTTTGTGCAACCGCCTAAAAAATCAAAATTTATTTTGCTCCTGTGGGTCTTAATACATTCAGTGAATCAAAATTGTGCGCTTGATTGAGTGCATTTATTAAGGGGTAGCTTGCACGAAGCCTTCAAAAGCTGAGAAAAATCTTGTTTTTCTCACTTTCAACATGCAGGAATGACGTAATTACATACAGTAATCCTTGACTTACAACCACAGTTACAAACAGAATTTCCGTCGCTAAGCAAAGCAGTTAAAATGAGCCCTGCTTGATTTTGTGACCTTCCCCCCCCCACGGGTGTTAAACAAATCACTTAAAGTTGTAAAGTGAATCAGGCCGTCGTTCAGCAAATCTGGCTGGTCACATGACACCCCGGGACATGACAACTGTGATAAATACATGCCAATGGCCCATTTTGATCACGTGACCAGCTGTGACGGTCGTAAGTGTGAGGACGGTTGTAAGTCATTGTTTTCGTTGCTGTTGTCACTTTGAACAATCGAAGTTGTAAGTCGAGGATTGCCCGTATTCCGTTTCTATAAGATGTTGCCAAAGCTGCAGATAAATTGTGATTTTTTTTTTTTCTTTCTCTCTTCTCCGTCTAACACGAACTGCAGGGAATTTCCAGGAAGTGGGAATCTGATCACATTTTCCCAGTTCTTCTTTATAGCTTTGGAAGGTTTTATTTTTGAAGCCAAGTTCGGAAGGAAACAGCCCACGATTCCTATCAGGTATGGCCGGTCTCTTTTATTTTAAAATATAGTTTTTATTCGAGTTGCTCATAATGTAAACTACAACTGAAAATAAAGATAATGGGGAAGGAAAAGAGCCACAATTCCTGTCAGATATGGCCGATCTGTTTTATTTTGAAATATAGTTTTTATTCAAGTTGATCCTAATATAAAGTACAGCTGAAAATAAATATAATAGGGAAATGGGGAAGGACAAGGACAAGAGCCCACAATTCCTGTCAGGTATGACTGATCTCTTTTCTATTGAAATATAATTTGTATTTGAGTTTATCACAATGTAAACGACAACTGAATAGAATAGAATAGAAGCTGGAAGGGACCCTGGAGGTCTTCTAGTCCAGCCCCCTGCTCAAGCAGGAGAACCTTTACCATCTCAGATAAGTGACTGTCCAGACTCTATCATTTTTATTTGAGTTTACCAAAATATAAAATACAACTGAAAAAAAAAATAAAGATAATGGGGAAGGAAGAGGAAAACAGGCCACAATTCCTGTCAGGTCAGTATGGCTGATCTCTTTTGCTTTTAAATCTAATTTTCACTGAAATTTATCACAATATAAAACCACGACTGAAAATAAAGATGATGGGAAAATGGGGAAGGAAAGAGGAAAGAAGTGTAGGGGAAAAAAGAATAAACCAGTGATTTCCAGCTTTTTTCAGTGCCACAAAAGTTCAAAATCCAGAGGCTTGGCAACTGGCATGTACTTATGACGGTTGCGGCGTGCTGGGATCATGTGATCCCCTTTTGCGACCGTGTTACTAACCAGTAACTTGAGGACTATCTGTATTTGATTTGTGATCCTTCTTTCTGTTTGGGTAATAAGCGGGGGGGGGGACGGATTTCAAATGGGGCGGGGTCCTGCGTTCGAGGAAATTCACCTCCGACGTCACGTGGAAGGTGACAACTTTGTGCTTCTCTTCTTTCTAGGTTCTACCTCATTATGGTGGGCATGTTTTTCACAGTGAGTGTGGTGAACAACTACGCTCTCAACCTGAACATTGCGATGCCCCTGCACATGATATTTAGATCGGTGAGATTCGATCTCGGTTTTTAGTATTTTGTTTATTTATTTACATCCCCAACTATAATGTTTTTATTCATATACTTAAGGAGATGAACATATCTACTACTTCCTCCTCCTCCTCAACAACAGCCCTGTGAGGTAGGTTGGGCTGAGAGAGAGAGTGATTGGCCCAAAGTCACCTAGCTGGCTGGTGATTGGCCCAAAGTCACCCAGCTCTCTTTCATTCCTAAGGTGGGACTAGAACTCACCATCTCCTGATGATTGGCCCAAAGTCACCCATCCAGCTTTCACGCCTAAGGCGGGACTAGAACTCACCATTGCCTAGTGATTGGCCCAAAGTACTCAGCTGGATTTCATGCTTAAGGTGGGACTAGAACTTACTGTCTCCTGGTGATTGGCCCAAAGTCACCCAGCTGTCTTTCATTCCTAAGGCGGGACTAGAACTCACTGTCTCCTGGTGATTGGCCCAAAGTCACCCAATGAGCTTTCACGCCTAAGGCGGGACTAGAACTCACCATTGCCTAGTGATTGGCCCAAAGTACTCAGCTGGATTTCATGCTTAAGGCGGGACTAGAACTCACTGTCTCCTGGTGATTGGCCCAAAGTCACCCAGCTGGCCAGATTCACTTAACAACCCTCCTGCTATCTTAACTGCTGCAGTGATTCACTTAGCAACCGGGGCAAGAAAGGCTGTACAGTGGGGCAAAAGTCACTGGAGAACTGTCTCGCTTAGCCACAGAAATGTTGGGCTCGATTTTGGTCATAAGTCAAGGACCACCTGCTCTTTCGGCCTCTACTATCCCGACGGCTGTTAACCTGTCTCTCCCCCCCCCTTCTTTTCCATTTCTTCCCTTGTAGGGCTCTCTGATAGCCAGCATGGCGCTGGGAATCATCATCCTGAAGAAAAGGTAAGATGGCTTCTTCCGGTAGCCATGATGCTTGCGTTCAATAGAATAGAAAAGAATAACAAGAGTTGGAAGGGACCTTGGAGGTCATCTAGTCCAACCCTCTGCTCAGGCAGGAAACCCTATAACGGGTAGGCAACCTTGGCTCTTTTATGACTCATGGACTTCAACTCCCAGAATTCCTGAGCCAGCATGGCTCAGTTTGGAAACCTCTCCCTTTCCCCTCAGCATGGCCGGCTCAGAAATTCTGGGAGTTGAAGTCTACCAGTCATCAAGAGAGCCATAGTTCCCTCATGCTGGCTCAGGAATTCTGGGAGTTGAAGTCCACGAGTCATAAAAGAGCCAAGGTTGCCTACCCCTGGCCTAAGTCCTTCTGTTCTAAGCGGTGAGCCTCCTAGACCAGGGGTAGGCAACCTGGGCTCTTTTCTGACTCGTGGACTTCAACTCCCAGAATTCCTCAGCCAGCCTGGCTCAGCTTGGAAACCTCTCCCTTTCCCCTCAGCATGGCTGGCTCAGGAATTCTGGGAGTTGAAGTCCACGAGTCATAAATGAGCCAAGGTTGCCTATCCCTGATCTAGGAGGCTCACCACTTCGAACAGGAGGACTTAAGACAGAGGTAGGCCACCTTGGCTCTTTTATGACTTGTGGACTTCAACTCCCAGAATTCCTGAGCCAGCCATGCTGAGGGGAAAGGGAGAGGTTTCCAAGCTGAGCCATGCTGGCTCAGGAATTCTGGGAGTTGAAGTCCGCCAGTCATAAAAGAGCCAAGGTTGCCTACCCCTGTCCTATACTATTCCAGACAAATGGCTGTCCAGTCTCTTCTTTAAAAACGTCCAGTGTTGGAGCACCCACAACCTCTGATGGCAAGCTGTTCCACCGGTTAATTGTCCCTTCTGTCAGGAAATTTCTTCTCAGTTCTGGGTTGCTTCTCTCCTTGGTCAGTTTCTGCACTTAACTGCAGCGATTCATTGGGCGGCTGTGGTAAGAAGGGTGATGAAAATGGGGCAAATCTCACTCCACAAGTGTCTCACTTAGGAACGGAAAATTTGGGGCTCCATTGGGTCGTAAGCCGAGGACTGCCGGTACGTAGAATTCACGGGGGGGGGGGTGTTCAAAGATTTTAAAGAGCTTCCCTTTCTCTCTCTCCCTCTCTGCTTTTGACCTTCAATTTTTCAACAAGATCTTTATGAGTCCTTTTCACAGCCGGATGTGCGGAATTTGAGAGTTGGCGACATCAACGCAACTTCCTGGTTTTCTGAAGAATGGGGGGGGGGAGGAAGGAAAGGGGGGTTGAGTAATGCTGGGTGGGAGGGTGTCCTCTGCAAGGGGCAGAGCCAGACTGGTGTATGGGAGGGGAAGTAAGCTTGGGGGATGACGTGTTCTCATTGTCCTCCAAGAGACCCCCTCCTCAAATTAAATATTCCTGACATGGTTTTCTTGCTGTTATTCTTGGAGGGGGTGTGGGATTTAAATGGTTTGTGGGTGGGGTGGGGTGGGGGGGTCCTGTGTGTTGTTGCTTTGGAAAAAGGCACCATTCTTTGGGGACCAAGAGAGAGCCAGTTTGGTCTAGTGGTGAAATCACTAGGTGAGAAACCAGGAGACGGTGAATTCTAGTCCCGCCTTAGTCATGAAAGCAGGCTGGGTGGCTTTGGGCCAATCACCAGGAGACGGTGAGTTCTAGTCCCACCTTAGTCATGAAAGCAGGCTGGGTGGCTTTGGGCCAATCAACAGGAGATGGTGAGTTCTAGTCCTGCCTTACGCATGAAAGCAGGCTGGGTGACTTTGGGCCAGTGACCAGAAGACAGTGGCCCAGAGACACCCAGGTGGCTTTCAAGTCTAGAACAGGACTAGAACTCACTTCCTCCTGGCTTCTAGCTAGGTGCCTTCACCACTGGACTGGGTCTTCCTTTCTTGCTGAAAAGCTGAGATTCTCAAATCTCGAAACTTGGAGGGGTTTCCCCATGGAAAGCTGAGGGGGGGGGTCTCGGGCTGTGTTGTTCCTTCTGTTGAAGCTCTCCCATCCTTCTCTTGCACAGGTACACTCTCTCCAAATACATCTCTATAGCGTTGGTCTCTCTGGGCATTTTCACCTGTACTCTCATGTCAGCCAAAGAAGTGGTAAGCTCCCTTATCCTGCCTGTCAAATACCTGTCTTCAAGATTAGACACACACACACACACACACCCTAGCCTGCCTCACACCCTTCCCGGGCACAGACCACTGCCCAAATTAGTGTGCCTGGCCTCACAAAGGTGCATCAGAGATGATGATGATGATGATGATGATGATGATGATGATAGTAATAAAGTTGGAAGGGACCTTGGAGGTCATCTAGTCCAACCCCCTGCTCAGGCAGGAAACGCTATATACCATTTCGGACAAATGGCTGTCCAGTCTCTTCTTAAAAACTTCCAGTGTTGGAGCATTCACCGCTTCTGGAGGCAGGTAGTTCCACTGGTTAATTGTTCTAGCTGTCAGGAAGTTTCTCCTTAGTTCCAGGTTGCTTCTCTCCTTGGTTAGTTTCCACCCGTTGCTTCTTGTCCTGCCTTCAGGGGCTTTGGAGAAGTGCTTGACTCCCTCTTCTTTGGGGCAGCCCCTGAGATACTGGAAGACTGCTATCACGTCCCCCCTCGTCCTTCTCTTCATTAAACGAGACATTCCCAATTCCAGCAGCCGTTCCTTCTATGTTTTAGCCTCCAGCCCCCTGATCATCATCCTACCAGATCTGTTTATGGAGATTCTCCCTCATCCAGGTTGTGGTTGTCCCAAAGATGCTTTTTCAGGAGGCAACTGGACTTCCTTGTTTTTCCTTGAAGACGTTTCGCTTTTCATCCCAGAAGCTTCTTCAGCTCTGACAGGAAGGTGGGGAACGGAAGGATTTATACTCCTTGCAGACAGCTGGTCATTTGCATCCTTTTAAGATCTTTGACTTTCCTCCAAGAACTGGGATAAGAGATGATACGATTGGGCCCCAGGATTTTATTGCCTTTCTGGGTTTGAGTGTACTTAGTTTTTATTACGTTGTGTTTTTTTTTATGTTGTTTTAAATTTGGATTGGCAGCCGCCCAAAGTCAATTAGAAGATGGGCGGCTATATCAATGTTTTAAATAAAGAAATGGCTTCTTGGATGGGCTGCCGCAAAACTTGTCTTTCCGTACGGCCGCAGAAGGACGCTGGCGGCAAGCTGGGTCTTGCCCCTCCAGGTGGTTTCATCTTTTACCTGGTCAGGTGGCCCAGACCCAGCCCAGACTAGCTAGTCAGGTAGACCCTCCCCCTTGTCTTTTTTTTGGGGGGGGGAGGAAATATTTTCGTGACTATGCCGTTGCATTATAAAGTTGGAAAATTGCAGCGGTGTGCAGAAAAAGCCAGGCAAGTTGTTAAAAAAAAAAGGGGGTGGGGGCTGTCGTTTTTCCCATTCAAATTTTCTGGGTTTGTTTGATTGATTGACGGTCGGCCGTCAGCAAAGTCGTTGCAAGGTAGAATGCAACAGCGGCGAGAGAAAAAAACACAAACATTAAATGCAAGACAAATATAATAAAAGCAATAAATATAATAAAAGCAAAGACAAATATAATAAAAGCAATAAAAGACAAATATAATAAAAGCAATAAAAGCCTTGAGCAGCTGCCCACTGAAAGTGGCCTGTAGAGAAGTCAACTGAAATGAAATCTAGAAGAGGAAGCAGATAAAATAAGAATAAACTTGAAATCAAACAACCAAAGGGCATCGATCTTGTAGCGTTCCAACGCAGGCGGTCCTCGGCTTAACGACCGCGAGGGAGCCCCAAATTTCCGTTGTTAAAGCGAGACATTTGTTATGTGAGTTTTGCCCCGTTTTACGACCTTTTGGGCCGCAGTTGTGAAGCGAATAAACCGCAGTGGTTAAGTGAGGAATAGGGTTGTAAAATGAATCGGGCTTTCCCCCCATTGACTTTGCTTGTCGGAAGGTCGCAAAAGGGGACTGCAACCGTCCTAAGGGGCACTGCAACCGTCCTAAGTACATGCCAGTTGCCGAGCCTCTTTGAGTTTTGATCCCGTGAACACAGGGGAGGCTGCAGTGGTCTGACATGTGGAAAACGGTCCTCGGTCTCTTTTTTTCCCAGCGCTGTTGTAACCTTGAACGGTCACTGAATGAACTGTTGTAAGTCACCGACAATGTCATGGTTCCGACAGATGAGAGTCCTCAAAGAACTTCGAGGCATTGTTTACCTTAAAGAATCTTTATTCAAGAAGCATAGCATCGGCACGTACGTAGGGGAAGCCAAAATCTGAATTCCCCTCCCCTGAGCACGTAGTATCCAAGCACCATTGCCTCCTCCAGTTAACAGTCATAAATCTCATTCCCCAATTAGCTTGAAATGCAGGCTTTCCCTCCAGTTCTTCAGCCCGCCAATCCTTATCGTCTCTTATTTCAGTAACCTTGGTTCTCACACTAGGTCCAGTATTGTTATGTCTAGCTAAACCAGTGGTTCTCAACCTGTGGGTCGGGACCCCATTTTGGGTCGAACGACCATTTCACGGGGGTCGCCAAACAACGCAGTCCGCCATTTTCCCCCCTTTTCCTTAGCTGTGCTACTCCCTTTTATTCTGTTGGCTTTGGAAAGCCAATAGAATAGGCTCTCTTGAATAGAGTCTAATTCTATTGGCTTTCCAAAGCCAATAGGAATGGTCCAGGCTGTCTCTGCCCTGCTGAGCCCGCCAAAAGTCCCAGTCTGCAAACAGTGCTGTATCAGTTGAGCAGTCCTCGACTTACGACCGGTTGAGTAGTCCTCGACTTACGACCGGTTGGGGGTCGCAGCATTAAAAAGGTTGAGAACCACTGAGCTAAACTCTCATGCATATTCCTCCTCCCCCCCCAGTATCATCTAATTCTAAGAGTAAAACGTAAGAAGGAAAATGGCTGAATGAAACTGTTGTCAAAGCAACAGCGTTGACGGACAGCCTGTGGCTGCCAATAAGATCCTGCCATCTTTGGTGGAGATCATGAGGACTCGGTCCAAGAGGAGGGAGGAGGAGGAATCTCAGAGCAGGAACCTGTCTGCTAAGGTCTCAGGGTCAGAGCTGGCCAGGGGGAAAAATCCCCTCGCCAAATGGGGTTTAGGGAAAACCTCCCATCCAACGCTTTTTTTTATGGGTGGCTTTTGCAGTAATATACCAGTTGCCCTCATTTATAATCTTTTATCCTAATGTGATGCCTGTTGATAAATCTTGTAAGAACAGATCAGTTGCAGAAGCTGATATTTTCTTTCTTTCTTTCTTTCTTTCTTTCTTTCTTTCTTTCTTTCTTTCTTTCTTTCTTTCCTTTCTTTCTTTCTTTCCTTTCTTTCTTTCTTTCTTTCTCTTTCTTCCTTTCTTCCTTTCTTTTTTTCTTTCTATATTTCTTTCTTTTTTTATATAATATATTTTATTAATTTTTTTAACAAAGCATAAGTCACTCAATAATTGGTAAACAGTGTGTTGTCTGGGTTACATTTGTAAAAACACTCCTTAACAATTAATTTCTATAATCTGTATTCCATATATTAATTTTAGTTGATTTCCTCTTTCCCCAAAACAAGGATTGTAACAGGATTGATGATAAGGCAACCCAAATGACTGAAAGGAACAGAAATATTATATTAATATGATGATTATTTTTTAGGAATATTGGAAAAATTATATATTTAATTGTCATTCATTAAAACAATAAGAACTGTATTAACTCAATGTCCATATTTCTTTCTATATTTCTTTCTATCTTTTTCTTTCTCTTTCTTTTTCTTTTATTTCTTTCTTTCCTGCTTGCTTGCCTACTTTCTCCTTCCTTCCTTCCTTCCTTCCTTCCTTCCTTCCTTCCTTCCTTCCTTCCTCTTTCTCTTTCTCTTTCTTCTTTTATTTCTTTCTTCCTTTCTTGCTTGCTTCTTTCTTTCTTTTTTTCTTTCTTTTTCTTTTTCTTTCTTTCTTTCTTTCTTTCTTTCTTTCTTTCTTTCTTTCTTTCTTTCTTTCTTTCTTCCCTCCCTCCTTTTCTGCCCTCCTTCGATCCATCCACCCATCATTCTCCTTCCCTCCCTCCCTTCATTTTTCTTCCTTCCCTGCCTCCCTCACTCCCTTTGTTTTCCTTCCTTCCTTCCTTCCTTCCTTCCTTCCTTCCTTCCTTCCTTCCTTCCTTCCTTCCTTCCTTCCTTCCTTCCTTCCCAGAGCTCTGTGTCGGGTGCGAGTGAAGACGCTGAGAGCATCTCTGCCTTCCTCTGGTGGCTCCTAGGTCTGTAACTGCCCCCCTCTCGCCTCCCCACAGTAACCCTCTTCTGAGGAGATGCAATTGCGGAGGGGGACACAAACCAGAATCCCCTTTCCAAACCAAACGGTGTAAATTGGACTTAAACGGACCCTTGGATGGATTGAAGGCTCTCCAAAACCAACAACCGCATATTATTATTATTATTTTAATTTTTAGCGTGGCAGGAGGAGGAGGAGGGCGATTCCAAAAGAACAATCATCGTCATAATTTATGTAATCATTGAATTGCACCTGATTCATTTAAACTTCATATTAAATCGGATGCAATCTGTGGCCCGGCCTTGCCCTCTTTGTTCTGTTGCCAGCTTTTTTTTTTTTTTTTTTTTGTACTTTGGCCAGGGTTTTGATTAAAGTTGTGATGTGGTTGCTGCCTCCACCTACACAATGGAGTCCACAGGTTCATTGTTAATCACGCTGGCCGAAAACACTTTCACTATGGCCCCACCTGGGCCTTCCTCGCTCGTGTCTTTGCTAAGCTCACCTGGATTAGCCTTGGGTGTGTTCGCTCCGTTGAAAGACTCACGTAAAGTACTCACACAATAAGAAAGGGAGTGGGCTGTTGGGGGTACCAATGCTGGTCTTCTGGGGCTGTGCATAGAGAATATTTTTATACAGGGCCAAGAATGTGTTTTCATGGGGTCCTCGGTGCTCTCTGAGTTGGGTTGTTTTCTTACAGACGTTTCATGACCCAGCCAGGTAACATCATCCATGCTAGAAGGGAGGGAGGTTTGCTTTCTGTTTACATAGAAGTATGCAAAGAAAACCACTCCCAATAAGAGACAATAGCTTGGGGTTCAAATGCAGGGTCCAAGGAAGGAAGGAAGGAAGGAGAAGAAAGGAAGGAAGGAAGGGAAAAAGAAAAGGATGGAAGCAAGGATGGAGATAGAATAAGGAAAGAAAAGGGAGGGAGGGAGGAAGGAAGGAGAGAAAGAGAAGAACTGTGTAGTCCTTGGTGCTCTCTGAGCTTGGTGGTTTCCTTGCAGACGTTTCATGACCCAATTAGGGAACAGCATCAGTGCTAGAAGGGAGCGGGGTTTGTGAAGTAAAGGAGGCGAGGAGGAGGAAGAGGATTTCCTGCTGAAGGGCAGATCCGGAATATTGGTCTCGACCATTATATGTTTTAGGAATTGCGGCCTTGACCTTTGCCCTCCTCATGTCAGCCCTGATGGGCATCTTCCAGGAAACCATCTATAAGAAGTTTGGAAAACACTCCAAGGAGGCCTTGTTCTACAATGTAAGAATGTCCATCCTCCATTTTATCTGGTTGCAGTTTGCAGGAGTTAAGTGGCTTCCCCCAGATGTCAGATTACTGTAGAATCCCCCAGCCAGCATGGTTTGAGATGGGTGGACTTCAACTCCCAGAATTCCCTAGCGAGCACAGTTTAAGATGGGTGGGCTTCAATTCCCAGAATTCCCCAGCCAGCATGCTTTAAGACAGGTGGACTTCAGCTCCCAGAATTCCCCAGCCAGCCTGCTTTAAGATGGACTTCAACTCCCAGAATTCCCCAGCCAGCATGCTGTAAGATGGGAGGACTTCAACTCTCAGAATTCCCCAGCCAGCATGCTGTAAGATGGGAGGACTTCAACTCCCAGAATTCCCCAGCCAGCATGCTTTGAGATGAGTGGACTTCAAACTCCCAGAATTCCCCAGCCAGCCTGCTTTAAGATGGGAGGACTTCAACTCCCAGAATTCTCCGGGCAGTAGGCTTTAAGATGGGTATACTTCCCCTCTTCAGCTATGCTCCAGGATCTGCAGGCGTGATGGTGATGCAAACTTAATTTTGCTGCTTCTGTTCCCAAAACTGTTGTTTTATATTTCCTCCTAGCACGGCCTGCCTCTTCCCGGATTTCTCTTTCTGGCTCCAGATATTTACCGACATGGACTTCTCTTTAGTCAATCCAGTGAGTTTATCTGGTGTCCTTGTTTTTAATTTGAAACCGAAGTATGGTGGGTGCCGCTTAAAATTAGAAGGAATCCGATGTCAACATCCAGCTCGAGAATCCAGATCAAACTCCAGGTTCATTCCATTTCCGAAAATCTTAACTGTTTATTGAATACATGTCATGTGTATTCAAGCTAATTCTGAGGTGCCCGGACACCGTTTTCATAGAATTAAACCATAATTTCTCCGGCCAAACCCCCACCCTCTCACCTAGTCCACGTAAACCATTTCACTTTGTTATGGGAACCGTCCGCTTCCTCTCCACATCTGCTGCGGTGTCCTTGGAAAGGTTTTAGGCTCCCAGTCTTGAGCAGAGTTGTAGAGGTTTCGTTGCTCCATCTAACCCAGTGGTGGCGAAGCTATGGCACGCATGCCAGAGGCGGCACTCAGAGCCCTCTCTGTGGGCACGCGTGCCATCGCCCCAGTCCTAGGCCTTCAGCTGGGTTTTATAAAACCTTTTCGTTTTAGGCCTCTGCCGCCGTGTGCAAAAAAAAAGGTTCAATCAATCAGTCAATTTCAACTTCTCGCGGGGAAAAAAAAGATCTTGCAAAGTTGGGATTGATTGAACTTTTTAGTCCCACCCAGTCTGCTGTTACTACCGCAGCCACGCCCACCCAATGGGCCACATCCACCTGGCACCCGACGATGCATAAGTGGGTTTTGGGTTGCAGTTTGGGCACTCGGTCTCTAAAAGGTTCACCATCATTGATCTAACCCATTCTAAAGCAATGCCTCCCCCCCTTTACTCTATTGGTAAGGGGCACGTAGCTGCCAAAGTTTCATTCGCGACATGTGGTAGCTGTTGAGTTGTCCTCTTCAGGACAGTTACTCAACTTAAGACCGGTTGCTTAGCGTAAGCATGTTCTTGAAAGGGTCCCACCTCACTCTCCTCTCTTCTCCACAGGACTCGTCCAGGTGCCGTTGGTTGGACTCAGCCTCCCCATCATGTGGCTGTATCTCATGATGAATGTCATAACTCAGTATCCTTTTTTGGGGGGGGGGACAATGACTAGCAGACGGTAACGGTGAGGTTGAGGCTCAGTCAACGTTCTTGTGTTCCCTATGCTGGAGGGCGACTCCTCCAAATCCTGCGTCTTGTTAAGGTTTCCTTTGAACGGTGTCACCTTTCTCTGTGGGGCCTTTGAGCTTGGTTGTTTTCTGGCAGATGTTTCCTGACCCAACTAGGTTACCTCATCAGTGCTGGGCTGGGAACAGGAATCTTCTCAACTAAGGTCAGCAGCTGGTTAGAGTTAGATAAGGATTAATGGCACTCAAATGAGAGACTTAGTTCGCTTGTGGCTGTGTAGAGATTCTAGGCTGATTCCTCTTTTCATGCCACCCTCAGATTGTCCTCTTCTTCTTCTTCCTCCTCTTCTTTTTCTTCTTCTTCTTCCTCTTCTCCTCCTCTTCTTCTTCTTCCTCCTCCTCCTCTTCTTCTTCCTCTTCCTCTTTTTTTTCTTCTTCCTCTTCCTCTTCTTCTTCCTCCTCCTCTTTTTCTTTTTCTTCTTCCTCCTCGTCCTCCTCCTCCTCTTCTTCTTTCTTCTTCCTCTTCTTCTTCTTCTTCCTCCTCTTCTTTTTCTTTTTCTTCTTCCTTCTCCTCCTTCATCATCTGCTTCCTCCTCTTCTTCTTCTTCCTCTTCTTCTTCCTCCTCCTCTTCTTTCTTTTTCTTCTTCCTCCTCCTCTTCTTCTTCCTCTTCTTCTTCCTCCTCCTCTTCTTTTTCTTCTTCCTCCTCCTCCTTCTTCTTCATCATCTGCTTCCTCCTCCTCCTCTTCATCATCTTCCTCCTCCTCCTCCTCTTCTTCTTCCTCCTCTTCTTTTTCTTTTTCTTCTTCTTCCTCCTCCTCCTCCTCCTCCTCCAGATAGGGTGGACACTGTCCTTGTCCCTTCCCCTAAATATTTCCATCTGAAGGCAGCTAGGGAGCTGCTTCCCTATGAAAGACACCCCAAAATTCAGCAGGCCCCCCACCCTTTTAACCTTCCATAAAGCTTTTTTTCCCAAGAGCCGTGACAATACGATCGGCACCAGCTTTTTGCTGCTTTTCATGTTTTGAATGCGCTTAGTTTGATTGCATTTTTAATCACGTTATCGTGGTTTTTATGTTTTCGCTTTTGATCGGGAACCAACGCAGTGTCGACTGTAAGATGGGCAGGTCTGTAGAAGTGTTAAATAAACAGAATATCTAGCCAATCTACCAGAAACTCTCCGGAAAAAGTTCTCCTTTGGAGAAGTGACCACAGCCACGTCGAACCTCACAGTGTCACCGGTGGATGGACACCCATCTTCACATCTTCTCCAGTCTCCTCTTTTTTGTGTGTGTTTGTCTTTCCCTTAACTCCAGCCCCTTTCCCAGATACATCTGCATCCGAGGGGTCTTCACCTTGACCACCGAGTGCACCTCCTTGACCGTCACGCTGGTCGTGACGTTGCGGAAGTTCGTCAGCCTGATCTTCTCCATCCTCTACTTCCGGAACCCCTTCACCGTTTGGCATTGGCTGGGCACCTTTTTGGTCTTCCTGGGAATGCTGTTGTATACGGAAGTGTGGAAGAACCTGGGATTGGTCCGACCTTGTGGACCCAGGAAGGTGGAGAAGAAGCAGGAATGATGATGGAGATGTCCTTGGGGGGGGGGGGGAAGAAGTCCTCTCCACTGGACTGGTGGGGCTTTTACTACTAGAACGTTTTGCACCGTCGGACAAAACGGAGTCAGATTCTCCGTTGTCCGGACGGGAGGGTTGATTTTTGTACCACACAAGTCGCAAATCTTGGCTGGGCCAAGCTGATGCACATCCCCAGGAGAAAGGGGAAACGGTTTTTTCCGTCTTTGGGTTGTGGGGGGTGACAACGATAAGGGGGTTTCTTTGTCAAGAAGAATCTGATCCACGCCTCCAGCGACTCCATGAATTGGCTAGTTTTGCCCCCGGAGTTTGCAAAAAAACCCAAAACCCTGCTTTTGGTTCATGGATATCAAATTATTGGCATCAAGCGCGGACTTTAAAAGGAATAGCTGTGGAAGTCGTTATGTGATAGTTTGGTCTGCGGTGAAGGAATGGCCCGTTCGCCCCTTCCATGAGGCCACGGTTGAAGGCCATCCGCAGAAGTTTGTGGCCCATTGGGGACAGCAGAGTCCTACCAATGAGAACTGGGTGTCCTTGGGCAGGGCTTAAGAAGATCTGGACAGCTGTCGGGTTGCTTTGAGGTTGGAATGGAGCGTTGACCACCTGTCTGTGATCTTGGCCCAACAAGCAGCATCCAAAGTTGGTTCCTCAGAAACCAGATTGACCAAGCAGCAGCTCTTTCTGTGTCGGTTAATTTGTGGATAGCTCTCCAGATCTTTCTCCCCAATATACACAAACAAACGAAATCTCATGACCTTCATCTATAATAGGTGTGTGGTGTCCAACCTTGGCCATTTTTAAAACCTGTTGTTCTGTCCCAGCCTACATACGTCCTTGTTACTTCACAAAGACAATCCTTCTTTTAACGGTAGACTGGAAAAATAAACCCTTTTTATTTGAGTTACAGACCTGATAGTTGTCCCAGAAAACCAAAAGCAACAGAACGCTTTTCCAACAGGAGACCTTGTCCAAAAGCAAAACGGAGCACGAATCAAACAGGAAATAACTCACAGGCAAAATAAACAGACCGTGATCTCTTGACACTGAGGTTCTTTGCAAACGGTTGCCTCCCAGCAACCAGCCCTGTTCACACCTTCCCTTTTTGTTACGTAGCTCCCAAGGTGTGGCTTCTCACTGCTTTCTCCTCCTCCCCTGGAGTCACCCCATTGCCTCCCTCTGTCCTACTCGTGTGACCTGTCTGTGATTACGAGCGGCTCTGAGGTTTTCCAGCTATGCTTCCTCCAAGTCTGACTCAGCTTCCTAGCACAGCTGGCTCAGCTGGATCACGAGTGGAAGGATCAGCCTCCTCATCAGTCTGTAAGTCCTGCAGCTCATCAGAGTCTTCCTCCTCCTCTCATGGCTCTCCAGCCCCCCCCCCTCCTCCTCTGATTCCCCAGACTCAACTACAGGGATCACAGGCTGGCACGGAATCACAACACTTGTGGACTTTCCAGAATTCCCCAGCCAGCCATGCTGGCTGAGGAATTCTAGGAGTTGAAGTCCACAGGTCTTAAAGTGGGCACGGTTGGACACCGTGGTCTAGAATATCTATTGGTGAAGGACAAGGAAGACTATCCAACTTTCTTGAATAGACAGAAGTCTTGGCCAGACAGGGTGGCTATCTCTCGGGTTCCTTGGGGGCAATCCAGAGCAGTCTTTCTCAACCTCAACGCCTTCAAGAAGTCATGTCGACTCCAACTCATGATGGATTCTGGGAGTTGAAGTCCACAAACCTCTGAAAGTTGTTAAGGTTGAGAGACACTAATGTAGAGGTGGCGCCAATGTTTCCTCTGATCTTCTGTTCTTTAGGGACTATTTGAAGGAAGATGTTGTCCAGGAATGACAGACTGAATAAGCTATACAATTCTGAGCCATCTAGGAAACTGGTTTCTGAATTTAAAATGGAAGCCCTGCAAGGGTTCCTGGTCTACCTTGTCTATGACAAGGTCTTCTCCAAACCAGGTCTCCCTATGAACAAATATAAATACCCTTCTCTGCTCCCCTTCTTGATGGGAGGGCCACGAGTATTCTTACTCTGTGACCGCCTCCTTTAAGCAGCTGTAGATTTTGAGGGTTTATTTAATTTTGGGGGGGGGGGCAACATTTTTGCATATTTATATTTATAATCTGCACTGACAAGCAAGCAGAGTTCCTTTCCTCGGTGCTATAAATCCGTGTTCCTCAATTCTCAACAACTTTAAAATGGGTGGGACTTCAACGCCCAGAATTCCACCGGCTGGGGAATTCTGGGAGTTTGAATTCCATGTATCTAAAGTTGGCGAGGTTGAGGAACACCGGTCTACATAACGGTGAAGTGTTTTCTTTCGTTCTTTTTTTGCCCCCTAAAGGCATCTCGTCTGAATTTTGGTTACATCGGTGAAGCAGTTAAGGCCCCAGAAAACCAGGAGACTATGAGTTCTCGTCCCGTTTTAGGCGCAAAGCCTTCAAAACAGACTGTGAGTTCTAGTCCCGTTTTAGGCGCAAAGCCTTCAAAACAGCCACACAGTTTTCCTGAGCCCTGGAAAGGAAGCAATGGCAAGCCACTTCAAAAAAACATGGCAAAGCTTTGTCTGGTTGCCGAGAATCAGGCAAGGTTGAGTTGAAAAAGCGCCATTGTTGTTCTTATTGTTTTGGGGAAATTTCCCCATCTTCACTGTACCCGAATTGGGTTGTGTTAAAATTGTGATGCTTTGGGGTGGGCCCTTGTGGGTCCCTTTAAGCTAGGAAGGCACGCACAAGCATGCATGGAAACGCAGTTGGGGGGCTCAAGCAGCTCCCTTAAAAGCTAGAATGGTAGCAAGCAGCCAGCAAGATTAAACTAGGTTCCCCTTAAACCTGGTTTGTTTCTTTCCACTGGTGTATGTCGGTTTGTGAGAAGCCAACCGCTGAGTTGAGCACTTGGTGCCAAACCAGAAAAAAAGTTAATCCGGTAGCCAACAGGAAGATGTTTTGAACGGTGCTTTTGGTCACCCACCAATAAACCCACATTGCATTAGCTAGTCAACTGGCCCTTTGATGACTTGTGGACTTCAACTCCCAGAATTCCTCAGCCAGGCATGCTTAAAATGAGTTAGCATTATTATACACAAGTCATAAAAGGGCTAAGTTTGAAACCCTGACATAATATGAGGGGGAAATAATGCTAATTCAGAAAGAGCTAAACTGGTGTTTCTCATCCTCGGCCATTTTAAGAGGTGTGGACTTCAATTCCCAGAATTCCTCAGCCAATGTGCCTGGCTGAGGAATTCTGGGAGCTGAAGTCCACAAGTCATGAGGGGGCCATAGTTCCCCCATGCTAGCTCAGGAATTCTGGGAGTTGAAGTCCACAAGTCATGAGGGGGCCATGGTTCCCCCATGGTGGCTGAGGAATTCTGGGAGTTGAAGTCCACAGGTCATCAAAGGACCAAGTTTGAAGACCCCTGACATAATGTGAAGGGAAAATAATGCTAATTCAGAAAGAGCTAAACTGGTGTTTCTCAACCTTGGCTATTTTAAGAGGTGTGGACTTCAATTCCCAGAATTCCTCAGCCAGCATGCCTGGCTGAGGAATTCTGGGAGTTGAAGTCCACAAGTCATCAAAGGGCCAAGTTTGAAGACCCCCTGGTCTAGACGTAATGTGTCTGTTGCAGGAAAATAAACACAACAGTTGTGAACCGGATACATCAAAACTGGTTTGTCTCAGCAACACAATCATTCTTCTGTTTAATTGTAAATCCGATATTTTCTGCAAACACAATACCTCACCCTCACACACTTCGGGGACGCTTCGATGGGATCCTTTTCCCCATAAACTTTGTTGAGTATAGATAGGCCCAAGGTGGGAAGCAAGAAGACAAGAATTTTAATTAATGCGTTGAAACTCTTAGGTTTGAAAAGTGAAACTTCGGCAAGGCGTAATGAGATTATCGTATGGATGTCTATTTTAAAAAAAAAACGATACTGGCTGAAAATGGAATTTATTCAATAAAGAATATTTGCAAAACACAGATTTCCTGATCCATTTTTTTTCCCCTGTCTTTATAAGCTGGTGTTTTGTCAGCCTCTGCTGCCACTTCAACTCCCAGAATTCCTTTAGTCCCTGCCTCAATTTGGTGTATATTTTTCACGAAATTCAGTGGACGGAACAATTTCGGCCCCCAATTTTAATTCCCTGCGACGCTGGGTGAGCGAACGCCAATTTTGTTTTGACGCTCATTTGACTCTCGGCCCTTGTGCAATTGTGGCGCGCCAAATGCCCGCAACACAACTTTTGTTGCTGAAACGGGAGCCAAGGGAATCACTCCAGTTGTTAAGTGAGTCACATGGTTGTTAAGTGAATCTGGCTTCCCCTGGTCTGAAGGTCGCCAAAGGGAATCACATGACCCTGGGACGCTGCGACCGTCATAAATACGAATCAGTTGCCAAGCGAATTTTGATCAAGTGGCTGCAGCGGTCGTAAGTATGAAACGGGGTCATAAATCACCCTCAGTGCTGCTGTAACTGGCCACTAAATGAATTATTGTAAGTCCAGGACTCCGTATTCATACCCTAACAGGTGTGGAGTCCAGATCCAGAGAGAGCTGCTCGCTCCGTGGATTTCTGAAATAAAATCCTTTGGTGGTTTTTTGCTGTTGCTTGATCCGCTTCTGCGTCAAAGGATGCTGAGTGTTTGCAACGAGGTTTGTGTGTTAGGCACACACCTGTGTCCTCTAGAAGTGTGCGTACTTACCTATGCAGACCCTGTGGTGGTGTCGGCAGTGAGCCCAGGAATGTGCAGGGAACGTCAGAAAGATTGTTCAGGAAGTCCTCGACGTACAACTGTTCATTTAGTGACCGTTCAAGAGTTACAACGGCGCCGGAAAAAGGGAGTTAATGCTGGCTTCTCACACAGCATCCCGCAAGGTCACGTCATCAAAATTAAGAGACTTGGCAACTGGCATGTACTTAGGACGGTTGCAGTGTCCCAGGGTCAGCTGATCCCCTGTTGGGACATGACAAAATCAGTGGGAGAAGCCAGAGACACTTAACAACTGTGTGGCTTGCTTAACAACTGCGGTGATTCCCTCAACAAGAAAAGTTGTAAAATGGAAGGGGAGGGGAGAAATCACTTAAAAGGTTTCCCTTAGTAACGGACATTTTGGGCTCAGCTGTGGTTGTTAAGTTGAGGACTCCCTGGACAACACAACGAAGAGCCTGGGGTCTCAAAGCTAGCGCATCAAAACCCAAGACTCACTCTTGGAAATTAAAAAGAACGACACCCCCCCCCCAACTTCACACCTGGAAGTCTTGATTTAAAAGGCGCTAAAAAGATACGACAAATGTTTTGAAACCCATCAGGCGCTCGTTTTATACGGACCAACAAGGTTCCAGACATTAGGAGAGGGGGAAAATGTAAATTATTGTCCTAAATAACATTATAGTCTACTAAAACATCTCGTCTTTTTTTAGCCAGGAAAAAAAAAAAATCTGTCGAGTGGTTCAAGAGCCGGAAGAAAACTTTTTTGCACATATATTTTATATGGACCAAAAGGTTCCTGACATTGTGGGAGGGGAAAATAGAAATCATTGTTCTAAATAACATTATAATCTATAAAGAGCTCTTGTCTTTTTTAGCCAGAAAAATCCCGTCAAGTGATTCAAGAGCCGGAAGAAAACTTATATATATTTTCTTCTGGCTCTTGAACCGCTTGACAGAGTTTTCTGGGTAAAAAAAGACAAGAGATGTTTAGTAGATTGTAATGTTATTTAGAACAATAATTTACATTTCCCCCTACTATATGTGTGTGTGTGTATATATATATATATATATATATATGTAGGTCTTTGGTTATTCGGGTTTTCTCCCGCGTAAAATTGGAAGTGTCTTGGCGACGTTTCGACGAAGTCCCATTCGTCATCTTCAGGCTGGTGTTTTCAGCTTCGTGCTTCGTCATCTTCAGGCTGGTGTTTTCAGCTTCGTGCTTCCTCGAAGCACGAAGCTGAAAACACCAGCCTGAAGATGACGAATGGGACTTTGTCGAAACGTCGCCAAGACACTTCCAATTCTACGCGGGAGAAAACCTGAATAACCAAAGACCTACATACAAACACCCGCCGAGAAATCGTTGCGGATCCGCATTGTGTCACGAAACAAGTCTTTAAAAATAAAAATAAAAAATGGAAGTTTTCTTGGGCTGGCTCCAGCAGGATCTCCCTCGGGGGGGGGGGTGAGAAGCAGAGTCGGGACCCCCTAAGTGCTACTTGGGAGTAAAAGGCGTTGGGGGGGGCGGGGCTCCAAGGCTAGGGCTTCAACCACATGACCGAGGCGTAGCTGTCCACGGTGGCCGCTTTGGGCTTCTTCCGACCGGACGGGATGGGAGGAAGGACCGGCTTGGTGTTGGACCCGGGGCGGACGGGGACCGTGGTGGTGAGGTGTGGGGAAGGGGCTTTGTGCTTGGGGGTCTTCTTCTCCTTGCTGTCCGTGGGACGGTCGGCCTCTGCAACAGAGAAGAGCGGGATTGGATGTCTGCTTGGAGAAGAGAGGGACTGACTTTCTTTTTTTTTCTTTCCCGCACTCCTTTCTGTCCTCCCTCCCTCCCTCCCTTCCTTCCTTCCTTCCTTCCTTCCTTCCTTCCTTCCTTCCTTCCTTCCTTCCTTCCTTCTCTTTTCTACCGGCAATGATTCACTTACCACGTGTAGCAAGAAAGGTCGTAAATATGGGGCAAAACTCACTTAAGTGTTTTGCTTAGCAACAGAAATTTTGATCTTAATTGTGGTCATAAATCAAGGACCACTGACCTTCCTTCTCCCTCTCTCCATTTCTTTTTTCTTTCTTTTTTTTCTTCCTTCCTCTCCCTCCCTCCCTCTCTCTTTTCTTTCTTTCTTTCTTTCTTTCTTTCTTTCTTTCTCTTTTTTTCTTTGTCTTCCTTCCTTCTCCCTCCCTTTCTTGTTTCTTTCTTTCTTCCTTCCTTCCTTCCCCCTCTCTCTTCTTTCTTTCTTTCTTTCTTTCTTTCTTTCTTTCTTTCTTTCTTTCTTTCTTTCTTTCTTTCTTTCTTTTTCTTTTCTTTCTTTTTCTCTTTCTTTGTCTTCCTTCCTTTCTTTCTTTCTTTTCTCTTTCTTTTTCTTTCTTTGTCTTCCTTCCTTCTCCCTCCCTCCATTTCTTTCTCTTTCTTTCTTCCTTCCCTCTCCCTCCCTCTTTCTTTCTTTCTTTCTCTTTTTTCTTTGTCTTCCTTCCTTCTCCCTTCCTTTCTTTTTTGTTTCTTCCTTTCTTCCTTCCCTCTTTCTTTCTTTCTTTCTTTCTTTTTCTTTTCTTTCTTTTTCTCTTTCTTTGTCTTCCTTCTTTTCTTTCTTTCTTTCTTTCTTCCTTCCTTTCCCTCCCTCCCTCCCTCCCTCCCTCCCTTCCTTCCTTCCATTATGTGCCTCTCCCAATCTCTGGGCATTTTACAAAGATTAAAACTGGTAGACATTAAAATAGTAAAACAATAAATAACAACAATAAATACAGTTAAAAGTTGGGGAGGAGAGGAGCACAACATACAGGTAATCGTTGGCTTACAACCATTCGTTTAGTGACTGTCCAAAAGTTGCAATGGCACTGAAACACAAGGGACTTATGACCACATTTCAAATATGTGAACACTGCACCCTCCCCCAGGGTTACGCGATCAAATTTTGGATTGCTTGGCAAACTGATTCACATTTATGACGGTCGCAGTGCCTTGCGTCATGTGATGCCCTTTTGCGACCTTCCGACAAACAAAGTCAGTGGGGGAAGCCAGCTTCACTTCACAACCCGGTTCCTAATTTAATAACGGCAGTGATTCACTTAACAACGGTGGCAAGAAAGGTCATAAAATAGGGCAAAGCTCATTTAACAAACGTCTCGCTTAGCAATGGAAATTTTGGGCTCAACCGTGGTCGTAATCGAGGACTTGTCTGTACTCAAAAGGCACTCCTGGCCCTAACTGATGGCGCCTTAGAATCTTTTTGCCTCTTAGTCAAACCATGTCTGATCCTATTCTGGAGCCGGAATTTTTGGGCTCTCGGATTAAACGCTGGGAATATTATAAGTTGCCGGCAAAGGTATCTGAATCCATCTTGGCATTTCCTCACCTTTAGGGGCTGTTATCAAAAACGACCTCTAGATGGCACCAGAGAGAGCAGCAGAGCTATTAATCTGCTGCCATCTAGTGGCCACCTGGAGATTTGCAGATCAGATAAGAATCCGCAGCCAAAACAGAGAGAATATTTGTAGTTTGTGGTATCCCCTCAACTCACTCCGGAGTCACAGCAGGGCCCTCGGTTCGGAGGAGGTCAAAAACGTCAAGATGGGGTCGTGACAAAGACTTTGAGCCCTTTTGTAACGCGATGCGTATTCAAAGCTTTGAATTGGCGCCCACCTTGCCGGCTCCTTTTTTCATCCGTGACTTCTGCAAGGATGGTCCTGGAGGGACGGGTGGAAGATATGCTGGGAGACAGGAGTGATCCCGGATCAGGGAGGGATTTCTTGGCTGGTTGATCCGATTCCCTGTATCTGAGGAAGGAAAGGGTGAGATCAACGCCCGGGAACGCTAAGCTACAACTCACCCAGAGAAGCCACATCATGTGGTGTCTACCAGCCTCCATCTTCTCTGCACATTTCGAGGCCTGTGATGGCGGCATTCCTTGCCTGGGAACCATGGGTCTTATAGTGCAAGGTCTCTCCAGGTTGGGGAGATCTAATCAGAAGTCCTGACGCAGCAGCTATGGCTGTGGAGATCTTCTACTCTGCCATTCGGATGGCGCCAGGTTTGGCAGCCCCACCAACTTCTGGGCCATGGTGTCATTGGCACCCCTCATCTGTTGCACAGTTGGTTGTGAGACTGTCCTGTGCTGGGCTTGCTGTCTCCCTGACAGAGCGATGGGAACTTTCCTTGCCTGGGGATGATGGGTCTTGTAGTGCGAGGTATATCTGGTGGTCCAGGTTGGGGAACTCGAATCAGAAGCCCTACAGGCTGGAACATCCTCTAGACGTTCTGGAGAAAAGTCCCCCCCAAGGAATCACATCTCTACTCACCTTTGGTCAGTAGTGGTGGGTGGGACGGGGCTCATGGAACGTCTAAAGGACCCCGCGTAGGTGAAAGATGGGGGCTCTAAAAACTGGCTATGCACGCTGGGGTCTGCAACTCGGAGGGCATCCCTGGAACAAACCACAAAGAGTCCTCTGATTCTCCCAGCTCGGAGCCCACTTTTTTGTTTATTGACATGCAAATTCTATGTCTAAACAGTTTTTCCTTCCAATGGAGCCTGCCACCATCCATCCATCTCTCTCTCTATGTATTATCTATCTATATCTATTATCTATCTATTGTCTGTCTGTCTGTCTGTCTGTCTGTCTGTCTGTCTATCTATCTATCTCATCTATCGTCCCCTCTCTCCCCCCCTCTCTCTCTCTGTGTGTGTGTGTGTGTGTGTGTGTGTGTGTGTGTGTATAGATTAAACAGTTTTGTTTATGATTTTATCCTGGTGTTCGGATTTGTTTACTATTTTTACGACATGTGTATACCCGGGATTCGTGTTTTTAATTATATATATATATATATATATATATATATATATATATATATACATATACATATACATATACATATACATATACATATATATACATACATACACACATACACACACACACACACACGGCTTTTTTTGTAAAAACAAAAAAACACATGTCATACAACTTGCCTTGTTCCGTCCAAAAAAGGTGCCGGAACTCCATTCTGCATGTTCTATGACAAAAAAGCCCTGTATATATAATAGAATAAGAAAAAAATAGAATAGAATAGAATAGAATAGAATAGAATAGAATAGAATAGAATAGAATAGAATATAGAGCAGAATAGAATATAGAACAGAATAGAGAATAGAATAGAGAATAAACTAGAACAGAAGATTGTAATTCCCAGGAAGGCATCCCCCACCCCAAATATTTCCATTAGATCCAGTGCTCTGAAAACAGATACTATCTATGGCATTGTGGGGTGATTTTTTTTTTAAAAAAAGCAATGCTGCAACGTGCTCAAAGTACAGCGGTGACAGGCTTGCGCAGGCCCAGCGCACCTGTACTCACACCTGGGAAACCGGCGTGCCTGGAGGAAGTCTCCGGTTCCCAAATGCGGCAGGCAGATGCGGCTGGGAGGGCCCAGGTATGAGTTCTGCCACGGCACAAATCCAGAGGACGATTCTTCAAAAATTGATGGTGGCAGCATGGCGTGGATTGACGCCATTCCCGACTGCATTGGCCATACCGCCTAACCTGGGTTGTCTTAAGCCACTTTTGGGGTGGGTGACACACGCTAGGACGCGCAAGCAAGCGCAAACGACCCAGGTTTAAGACCAAATGCATGGGGCATGTTGTGCGAATGGCAGTGCTAGGTCCAACTGACTTAAGTTCACAGCGTTGTGTGTGGAGAACATGTTTTGTTGTTTTGTTAATATCTAGACGGACCTGCTGTCATTGTCTTTCTAAATCTTAAAATGGGTGGACTTCAACTCCCAGAATTCCCCAGCCAGCATGGCTGGCTGGGGAATTCTGGGAGTTGAAGTCCACGAGTCTTAAAATTGCCAAAGTTTGGACACCCCTGCTCTAAATCCCTATTTTTCAGCTTTGGCAACCTTAAGGCGGGTGGACTACAACTCCCAGAATTCCTCATCCAGCATGGCTGGCTAGGGAATTCTGGGAGTTGTAGTCCACAAGTTTTGGAGGTCATCTAGTCCAACCCCCTGCTCAACCAGGAGCCCCTAGACCAGTGTTTCTCAACCTTGACAATTTTAAGGCATGTGGACTTCAACTCCCAGAATTCCACAGCCAGCAATGCTGGCTGTGGAATTCTGGGAGTTGAAGTCTACATGCCTTAAAATTGTCAAGGTTGAGAAACACTGCCCTAGACCACTCCAGGCAAGTCACTATCTAATCTCTTCTTAAAAACCTCCAGTGATGGAGCATCCACAACTTCTGGTGGCAGGCTGTTCCACTGGTTAATTGTCCTCACTGCCAGGAAGTTTCTCCTAACAGGGATAATTAACATGAAGGGCAATCAGCCCCTTTGCTTCCTGATTTCTCTCACGCCCCTCTTTGGAGCAAACCTTTCATTTAAGGGGGGGGGTCATTCTTACCTCTCGAACAGCTGGGCGTAGGAGGAGATGGTTTTGCCCATCAGGCCCTGCTTGGCCAGCTGTTGTCTGCGCTGGAGCGACGCCTCTTCCTGGAGATGGAACACAATTGGCCCTCTTAGTGACGGGTCACGACAAGGTTCGGGCACAAGTCATTATCCAGGGGGGGAGGGGGAGGGACATAAGCTCTGCAACCAGTTAACCTTGGTGAAGTTAGAACACCCATGAGGTCACTTATCCCCTCCCCGGGGAACGGCCATCCATGGTCAGATAGACACACCGATGGCAGGTGAAGGTTGGGAAGCCATGGAAGAAAAGACTGCCTCTTGGCTTCATGGTCATGGTGGAAAGTTCATGGGACATAACAACAACAACAACAACAACTGACTACTGGAGAGACCAAACTGGCCTACAAGAAAGACCAAATGAAGAACAGAATAGAGGCATGGGAAGACAAAGCACTACATGGCCAATACATGAAAAAAATAGCTGGGAAAGCAGATAATAATAAAACCTGGCAATGGCTAAGAGCAGGAAAATTGAAGAAAGAGACCGAGGGACTAATTCTGGCTGCACAAGACCAAGCCTTAAGGACAAATGCATACAAAGTCAAAATTGAGAAGACAGCAACAGACAGTAAGTGCCGCCTATGCAAAGAAGCTGAAGAAACAGTGGACCACCTGGTAAGCTGTTGCAAGAAGATTGCACAGACTGACTACAAGCAGCGGCATGACAAAGTAGCAACAATGGTGCATTGGAAGATCTGCAAAAAATATCATTTGCCTGTAAGCAAAAACTGGTGGGATCATAAAATAGAGAAAGTCATAGAAAATGATAAAATTAAACTGCTCTGGGACTTCAGAATTCAAACAGACAAGCACCTGCAACATAACACCCCAGACTTAACAATTGTCGATAAGAAAGACAAAAAAGTCTGGATAGTGGACGTGGCAGTGCCTGGAGACAGCAGAATAGACGAGAAAGAACTGGAGGAGATCACAAAATACAAAGACCTACAAATAGAAATAGAAAGACTGTGGCAAAAGCAAGCAAGGGTAGTACCAATAGTCATAGGCTCCTTGGGTGCAATTCCAAAACAACTGGAGCACCACTTGAACACCATTGGCATTGACAAATTCGCTATTAGTCAATTGCAAAAGGCAGCCTTACTAGGAATTGCTTCCATCCTGCGACGATATCTGTAATACCATCAAACATCCACATCTGCCTATCCCAGGTCCTGGGTAAAGACTTGATAGGTAGACAAAATGCCCAAATCCAGTCTGAACATCTGGCTGACTGTGCGATGATTAATAATAATAATAATAATAATAATAATAATAATAATAATAATAATAATAATAAAGTTGGAAGGTCATCTAGCCCAATCCCCTTTCAGAATTCTGGGAGTTGAAGTCCACCCATCTTAAAGCATCCCGGCTGAGGGATTCTGGGAGTTGAAGTCCACCCATCTCAAAGCAGGCTGGCTGGGGAATTATGGGAGTTGAAGTCCACCCATCTTAAAGCAGGCTGGCTGGGGAATTATGGGAGTTGAAGTCCATCCATCTTAAAGCAGGCTGGCTGGGGAATTATGGGAGTTGAAGTCCATCCATCTCAAAGCAGGCTGGCTGAAGGATTCTGGAAGTTGAAATCCACCCATCTTAAAGCATCCTGGCTGAGGGATTCTGGGAGTTGAAGTCCACCCATCTCAAAGCAGGTTGGCTGGGGAATTCTGGGAGTTGAAGTCCACTCATCTCAAAGCAGGCTGGCTGAAGGATTTTGGGAGTTGAAGTCCACCCATCATAAAACTGCCAAGATTGAGAAACCTGGCAATCATCATCAATTTATAACTGAATCTCTTGAGCTGAAGAATGCCAGATGGTGAACAATTATCCAGGATTAAACTATTCCTTCTTCAGGGAACTGTGGGCCACATATATCCCGCCCCACACACACAATTTTTACCCAAACAAAACCCCAATAAGGTATAAGGGGAAAAGTATAAAAACCCATTTTGAGCATGGTGTTGTCTACTCTACCTTAGTAGATTTTAATGCATCTTAGGTGCAATGGCTAACTGCGTTTCCTTCTTGGAAACAGAATAACAGAGTTGGAAAGTACCTTGGAGGCCATCTAGTCCAACCCCTTGCTCAGGCAGGAAACCCTATACCCTTTCAGACAAACGGCTGTTCAGTTTCTTCTTAAAAACTTCCAGTGTTGGAGCATTCACTGCTTCTGGAGGCAGGTTGTTCCACTGGTTAATTGTTCTAACAGTAAGTTTGTCCTTAGTTCTAGGTTGCTTCTCTCCTTGTTGAGTTTCCACCTGTTGCTTCTTGTCCTGCCTTCAGGGGCTTTGGAGAATAGCTTGACTCCCTCTTCTTTGGGGCAGCCCCTGAGATATTGGAACACGGCTATCCTGTCCCCCCTCATCCTTCTCTTCATTAAACTAGACATACCCAATTCCAGCAACCGTTCCTTATATGTGTTAGCTTCCAGTCCCCTGATCATCTTTGTTGCTCTTCTCTGCACTCTTTCTAGAGTCTCAACATCTTTTTGACATCATGGCCATCAAAGCTGGATGCCGTATTCCAAGTGTGGCCTTACCAAGGCCTTATAAAGTGATGTTATTGGTACTCACTGTTTGGTTCTTCTATTCTTCTCAAACCTGTCCAAGCAAATTAGGCCCCTGACATTTCTCCTGGACATGGTTGACCTAAGAGAGGTCTTCTGCTTCCTTCTTGAAGGCCAGGATCCCACAGAAGAAGTCAAGGCAGGATGCCTCCCCTCGGGGCCACCTACCTCGCGCCAAAATGAAAGCCTTTTGCTGAATGGGGGGTAGTGGATTAGTCTGTGACTCTTCTTTCCCATCTGGAGAGGCAACTCCAGATGTGGGAGGATGGGCCCTTAGACCGTCCTGGCCAGGAGATGGGGTGGTCTTCCCTGCAGGCCTCCAGGGATGACGTTCCCCATTATGACACCATCACTCTAGAATGTTCTTCCACCAGGGCTACCACCATCTGGCTTTGGCGAGATTTCTCCTCTTCGTCTTCCTAAGGGTTGGTTGAAGAATTTCTTGGAGGAGAGCCCCAAAGCTTAAGTCTATGGACGTAACCAGCAGAAGAAGTATGGTGGCATGCAGAGAAGCACAGGTGTACTGGCGTATGGTCTGGGATTGGGCAATGACTACGCAAAACATTCAATACAAACCGGAGACATTACTATTAGGAATACTAGAAAAAAATGTAAATAATAATAGTAGTAAAGTTAGAAGGGACTTTGGAGGTCCTCTAGTCCAACCCCCTGCTCGGGCAGGAAACCCTACACCATTTCGGACAAGTGGCTGTCCAGTCTCTTCTTAAAAACTTCCAGTGTTGGAGCATTTACTGCTTCTGGAGGCAGGCTGTTCCACTGATTAATTGTTCTCACTGTCAGGAAGTTTCTCCTTAGTTCTCTAGGTTGCTTCTCTCCTGGATTATTTTCCATCCGTTGCTTCTTGTCCTGCCTTCTGGCGCTTTGGAGAACAGCTTGACTCCCTCTTCTTTGGGGCAGCCCCTGAGATATTAGAAGACTGCTATCATGTCCCCCCTTGTCCTTCTCTTCGTTAAACTAGACATACCCAATTCTAGCAACCGTTCCTTATATGTTTCCTTATATAAAGAGGACACATATTTAATTATCCATGTGGTCACAGCGGCAAGGATACTATTTGCTCAAAAGTGGAAAGCAACGGAAGCACCGAGTGGGGAAGGACTAATAAAGAAAATTATGTGTTGCGCAGAACTAGATAGGGTAACTAAAAGATGAAAAAAATCAGGAAGAAACAGAATTTTATCGAATATGGAATAAATTGTATAGATGGAGGGGAAAAAAATGGAGGTCACAGTAAAAATGGAGGTCTTGCCTGAGCAGGGGGTTGGACTAGATGACCTCCAAGGTCCCTTCCAACTTTACTACTATTATTATTATTACTAAGAGATAAACTGAGATAGAGACTAGAAATGTATAGTTGTATATAGGTATATTATATGTAATTCATGTACAATATGGACTGAGATGTCAGTCAAAGATGATTTCCCATGTTCAATGTTTTTAATCCTTTTTTTTCTTTGGACTTAATAAAAAATTAAAAAAAAAAAAGAAGAAGAAGGTCTGGTGGGACCATTTTTTCCCCGCTTTTAAATTTTCTTGCAAGGCATAAACTTCACTGAGGCTGGGAGAAAAGGTAGTCAGATAAGGTGCTGCTGGGTTCCTCCAGATTTTTGGTGACCGGGCTGCTTAAAATATACACAGAGGAACTGCCAATCACTCTTTCCGGACTTCTCGCTTCCAAAAAAGATTGGGGTCTTCTGGATACAGAGCAGGGACCGTCTCAGTTGAGCATGATTTTTTTCCCCTCCTGGAGGACAATAAATGGATCCATGATGGAAGACTTCCTGGCCTGGTTCCAAGTCAAACTGAGGAATCCTTTTCAATGGCTTGGGATCCTTGAATGGGAGAATTGAGAATCCACTCGTGTTTAAATCCTTCTCCAGCTCTTGAGAATCCACTCGTGTTGACATCCTTCCCCAGCTCTTGAGAATCTACTTGAACACCATCATCGGCATTGACAAATTCGCTATTAGTCAATTGCAAAAGGCGGCCTTACTAGGAACTGCTTCCATCCTGCGACGAGATCTGTAATACCATCAAACATCCATTATCTGCCTATCCCAGGTCCTGGGTAAGGACTCGATAGGTAGACAAAAATGTCAAATCCAGTCTGAACATCTGGCTGACTGTGTGATGATCAATAATAATAATATAATAATAATAATAATAATAATAATAATCACCATCATCATCATCAAGGGTAGTACCAATAGTCATAGGCTCCTTGGGTGCAATCCCAAAACAACTGGAGCACCACTTGAACACCATCATCGGCATTGACAAACTCGCCATTAGTCAATTGCAAAAGGCGGCCTTACTAGGAACTGCTTCCATCTTGCGACGATATCTGTAATACCATCAAACATCCACATCTGCCTATCCCAGGTCCTGGGTAAGGACTCGATAGGTAGACAAAATGCCAAATCCAGTCTGAACATCTGGCTGACTGTGCGATGATCCATAATAATAATACTTGGAAGGGACCTTGGAGGTCATCTAGTCCAACCCCCTGCTCAGGCAGGAAACCCTATACCATTTCGGACAAATGGCTGTCCAGTCTTTTCTTAAAGACTTGCAGTGTTGGAGCATTCACAGCTTCTGGAGGCAGGTTGTTCCACTGGTTAATTGTTCTCACTGTCAGGAAGTTTCTCCTTAGTTCCAGGTTGCTTCTCTCCTTGATGAGTTTCCACCCGTTGCTTCCTGTCCTGCCTTCAGCCGCTTTGGGGAATAGCTTGACTCCCTCTTCTTTGGGGCAGCCCCTGAGATACTGGAAGACTGCTATCATGTCCCCCCTCGTCCTTCTCTTCACTAAACTAGACATACCTAATTCCAGCAACTGTTCCTTGTATGTTTTAGCCTCCGGTCCCCTGATCATCTTGGTTGCTCTTTGTTGACATGACATTGTGTTTCATCAATAACTCAGATGTGTTTTGCTCTCTTTACTTACCACCGGGGTCTTCTGTGCCGAAAGTTGAGCCGATATTTTGGCCGAGTAGTTTTTGGCTGAAGAATCCATAAATTCATTGGGAGTAGGGGATGGTGCAACACCATCGGTCCCTCTGACGTTGCTGACTTTCAGAGTTGCAGTCGACTCCTTCTTGGGAGCTAAAAACCAAACAAGCAGCAGATAATGCATTTGGGTCAATATAAAAGGGGGGGGAAATGACATTGCTATAGGTGTATACTACAGACCACCCAACCAAACAGAGGAAATAGATGAACTTTTTGCTAGTCAGCTAACTAAGGTATGTAGGAAGCACATCACAATAGTACTGGGGGACTTTAACTACCCTGACATCAACTGGGAGACAAACTCCGCACCAAGTGGAAGATCAAACAGGTTCCTGGCAAACCTAGCAGACAACTTTGTCTCCCAAAAAGTAGAGAAGGGAACTAGGGGATTAGCCATTTGGGATCTAATTCTCACTAACAGAGATGAAATGATAGACGGTGTTGAAGCCATAGGAACCCTGGGAGGAAGTGATCATGCAATATTAGAATTCAACATTATAGAAGCACAACCAATAGAACACAGTCAAACTAGAGTCTTGGACTTCAAGAGAGCTAATTTCAATAAACTTAGACAGGGCTTGGGAAGGATTCCATGGATGAGAATCCTCAAGGAAAAAACAACTCAAGAAGCTTGGGAAATTTTGAAAAAATGAGATAATAAAAGCACAGTCTAGCACAATACCAACAAAGAGGAAAAATAACAGCTCTCAAAAGAAACCAGCATGGCTGCATAAAGAACTCTCTGACAAATTGAAAGATAAAAAGTACAAGTATAGAAAGTGGAAAGAGGGGAACATAACTAAGTCAGAATATCAGCAAATAGCCCGAGCCTGCAAAGATGAAGTGAAGAAAGCCAAGGCTCAAAATGAACTAAGGCTTGCGACCAAAGTCAAAAATAACAAAAAAAGCTTCTTTCAACATGTAAAAAACAAGAAAAAAGTGAAGGAAATGATTGGTCCATTAGTGGGTGGAAGTGGCAAGAAGGTGACAAGCAACAGGGAGAAAGCAGAACTATTTAACTCATTTTTTGCATCTGTCTTTACACAAAGGGAAAAAAACAGACCAACCTATCAAAAATAGTGCCATAAAAAACAAAACAGAAACACAAGTTAAGATAGGCAAGAAAATGGTTAGGGAGCACCTGTCCAGCCTAGATGAGTTCAAATCGCCAGGACCAGATGGATTACACCCCAGAGTTCTCAAGGAACTGGCAGATGTGATATCGGAGCCACTGAACTATATTTTTCAAAGATCCTGGAACACAGGGGAACTACCAGAGGACTGGAAAAGAGCTGATGTAGTTCCCATCCTCAAAAAAGGAAAAAAAATGGATCCAGGAAATTACAGACCTATCAGCCTGACCTCAATACCTGGGAAGATCCTGGAAAAGATAATCAAACAACGAATCAACGAACACCTAGAGGCAAACAAAGTCATTACTAAAAGCCAACATGGGTTTGTCAAAAATAGATCATGCCAGACAAATCTTATTGCATTCTTTGACCAAGTGACAAAATTAGTGGATCAGAGGAATGCTGTGGACATAATTTACTTGGACTTCAGTAAGGCATTTGATAAAGTAGATCACAACCTACTACTTGACAAGATAGAAAAATGTGGGGTAGACAGAACCACCACCAGATGGATCCGTAGCTGGCTGACCGGCCGTACTCAGCGAGTGGTCCTCAATGGAACTGCATCTATATGGAGGGAAGTGTGTAGTGGGGTGCCCCAGGGCTCTGTTCTGGGCCCAGTACTCTTCAACATCTTCATCAACGATTTGGATGAAGGGATAGATGGGGAACTCACCAAATTTGCAGACGACACCAAGCTGGCAGGAATAGCCAACACTCCAGAAGACAGGCTTCAGATACAGAAGGATCTGGACAGACTTGAACACTGGGCACTAACTAACAAAATGAAATTCAATGGTGAAAAAAGCAAGGTTCTACATTTAGGCAAGAAAAACCAAATGCACAAGTACAGCATAGGTGGCACCATGCTCAATAGTAGTAACTGTGAGAGGGACCTCGGAGTCCTAGTAGACAATCACTTAAATATGAGCCAGCAGTGTGCTGCAGCTGCCAAAAAGGCCAACACAGTGCTAGGCTGCATTAACAGAGGGATAGAATCAAGATCACGTGAAGTATTAATACCACTCTTCAATGCCTTGGTAAGGCCACACTTGGAATACTGCATCCAGTTTTGGTCACCACGATGTAAAAAAGATGTTGAGACTCTAGAAAGAGTACAGAGAAGAGCAACAAAGATGATTAGGGGACTGGAGGCTTAAACATATAAGGAACGGTTGCTAGAATTGGGTATGTCTAGTTTAACGAAGAGAAGGACAAGGGGGGACATGATAGCAGTATTCCAATATCTCAGGGGCTGCCACAAAGAAGAGGGAGTCAAGCTATTTTCCAAAGCACCTGAAGGCAGGACAAGAAGCAACGGGTGGAAACTAATCAAGGAGAGAAGCAACCTAGAACTAAGGAGAAACTTCCTGACAGTCAGAACAATTAATCAGTGGAACAGCCTGCCTCCAGAAGCAGTAAATGCTCCAACACTGGAAGTTTTTAAGAAGAGACTGGACAGCCATTTGTCCGAAATGGTGTAGGGTTTCCTGCCCGAGCAGGGGGTTGGACTAGATGACCTCCAAGGTCCCTTCCAACTTTACTACTACTATTATTATAATCAGTGGAACTCCTTGCCTCCAGAGGTTGTGGGTGCTCCATCACTGGAGGTTTTCAAGAAGAGACTGTCTGAAATGGTATGGGGTTTCCTGCCTGAGCAGGGGGTTGGACTAGATGACCCCCCAAGGTCCCTTCCGTTATTCTGATATTCTGTTGTAACTCTGGACTTAGATGGCATTCAAGGGCTTCAGTGGAAGACTTTTGATTTGACAGTGAGAACGTTCATCAATGGAACAGCTTGCCTCCTGGGGTTTATTTCACTTTATTTTTATTTGTATCTCACCTTTATTATTTTTACAAATAACTCAAGCGGCAAACATCTGCCACACACCTCTCTTCTCTTATTTTCCCCATAACAACAGCCTTATAAGGTGGGCCAGGCAGAGAGAGAGGGACTGGCCCAAAGTCATGACCTAAGGTGGGATTAGAACTCACCGTCTCCTGGTGATAGAATAGAATAGAATAGAGATGGAAGGGACCTTGGAGGTCTTCTAGTCCAGCCCCCCGCTCAAGCAGGAGAGCCTATAACATCTCAGACAAGATTGACCCAGCTGGCTTTCATGCCTAAAGCGGGACTAGAACTCACCGTCTCCTGGTGATTGGCCCAAAGTCACTCAGTCAGCTTTTATGGCTAAGGTAGGACTAGAACTCACCGTCTCCTGGTGATTGGCCCAAAGTCACCCAGCTGGCTTTCATGCCTAAGGCGGGACTAGAACTCACCGTCTCCTGGTGATTGGCCCAAAGTCACCCAGCTAGCTTTCATGCTGAAGGCAGGACTAAAACTCACCGTCTCCTGGTGATTGGCCCAAAGTCACCCAGCTGGCTTTCACACCCAAGGCAGAACTAGAACTCACTGTCTCCTGGTGCCTTAACCATTAGACCAAACTGACTCTCCTCTTCCACGAAAAGAGTTGTGGGTGATCCATTGCTGGAGGTCGGACAATCATTTGGAAGGGTATAAAGGCAGCGGTTCTCAACCTGTGGGTCGTGACCCCATTTGGGGTCGAACGACCATTTCACGGGGGTCGCCAAACAACGCAGTCCGCTATTTTTTTTCTCAGCCGGCGCAGGGGGCAGCGCCGCGCCTGTGTGCCGCGCAGGGGGCGCCGCCGCGCATGCGCACCATGCAGGGGCAACGCCACACATGCGCGCCATGCATGCGTGCCACGCAGGGGGCAGTGCCACGCATGCGTGCTGCGCAGGGGGCGGCGCCACGAATGCGCGCCACCTGCTCATGACCGGGTTCGCCGGTCTAAAAAGATTGAGAACCACTGGTATAAGGATTCATTCCTTAGGCAGGGGGGTGGGACTAGAAGACCTCCAAGGTCCCTTCCAGTCTGGTGATTCTTGAGTCTGCCCTATAGCTAGGTCAGGGGTCTTCAAACTTGGCCCTTTTTGTGACTTGTGGACTTCAGCTCAGCGTGCCTGGCTGAGGAATTCTGGGAGTTGAAGTCCACAAGTCATAAAAGGGCCAAGTTGGAAGACCCCTGTCTTAAATGTAACAAACAAAATGGAGGCTGGCTGAGGAATCATGGGAGTTGAAGCCCACAAGTCATAAAAGGGCCAAGTTGGAAGACCCCTGCCTTAAATCTAACAAACAAAATGGAGGCTGGCTGAGGAATTCTGGGAGTTGAAGCCCACAAGTCATCAAAGGGCCAAGTTGGAAGACCCCTGTCTTAAATGTAACAAACAAAATGGAGGCTGGCTGAGGAATTCGGGGAGTTGAAGTCCACCAGTCATCAAAGGGCCAAGTTGGAAGACGCCTGTCTTAAATCTAACAAACAAAATGGAGGCTGGCTGAGGAATTCTGGGAGTTGAAGCCCACAAGTCATAAAAGGGCCAAGTATGAAGACCCCTGTCTTAAATCTAACAAACAAAATGGAGGCTGGCTGAGGAATCATGGGAGTTGAAGCCCGCAAGTCATAAAAGGGCCAGGTTTGAAGACCCCTGGCCTAGGGGATGAAGTGGGCTCCTTGCTCCCAGCTTCTTTTCCTCGTGAGACTTTCTACTTCGCAAGAAATTAAAGGGTTGTGGGGTTCAGCAATACCTGAAGGGTCTTTGCTGCCCACCGCAGGAACCGTGGCTTTGGATTCGGACGATGGCACCAGCCCAAGGAACTCCTCCAGGATAGCGCTAAGTTTGGAGAAGGCCTCATCATAGTCATCTGGAGGGGTTTGAAGGAGAAGAAAAGAGCTTTGGCAAAGCGATGGGAGAAGCTGCAGCCGCTGGTGGCCCAGAACGTTCTCGTCATGCATGGAAGCAGTCCTCCACTTACGACTGCTTGTTTAGTGACGGATGTTACAACGGCGCTGGAAAAAGTGACTTACAGCCAGAATCAGAATAGAGCTGGAAGGGACCTTGGAGGTCTTCTAGCCCAGCCCCCTGCTCCAGCAGGGGAGTCCTCGACTTACAACCCCAATGGAGCCCCAAATTTAGGTCGCTAAGTGAAACCCCGGTTAAGTGAGCTTTGCCCCATTTTACGACTTCCCTCGCCACCTTTGCTAAGCGAACCACCGCCGTTGTGAAGTTAATAACATGGTTGTAAAGTGAGTCTGCTTGTCAGGAGGTCGCAAAAGAGGATCACAGGAGCCCCGGGGACGCTGCGACCGTCGTAAATAGGAGCCGGCTGCCAAGCGTCCGAATTTTGACCACTTGACCCTGGGGACGGCTGCAACGGTTGTAAGTGTGAAAAACGGTCGTAAAGTCCATTTTCCCAGCGCTGTTTTTTTTTTAAAACTCCGAACGGTCACTAAATGAACCGTTGTGGGTTGAGGACTGCCTGTCCTGAGAGAGAGAGATCCACCCAGCTTTTAACCGCCAATTGTTGATTCGCGGGATTGTAAACCTGGTTTGTGAAGTCAGAGACGGACCTACGTTGATGGCGGCATCGAAAAAGCCGGGGAAATCCTGGTTCATTCGGGTGTACATGTCCACCCTCCGGACGGCTTCCTCGATCTCCGGTCTGCTGAACAAGCCCATCCTTCGGAGGTGACCCCCGTATTTCTCCTTGTTCACTGGGATCAGTAGGATGTATCGTGGCTGGAAGTAGGAATTCTTCAAACTTCGGACTCCCTGAGAGAGAGAGAGAGAGAGAGAGAGAGAGAGACGGAGGGAGGGAGGGAGAGAGAGAGAGAGAAGAGAGAGAGAAGGAGGGAGGGAGAGAGAGAGGAGAGAGAGAGAGGAGGGAGGGAGGGAGAGAGAGAGAAGGAGGGAGGGAGGGAGGGAGAGAGAGAGAGAGAGAGAAGGAGGGAGGGAGGGAGAGAGAGAGAGAGAGAGAAGGAGGGAGGGAGGGGAGAGAGAGAAGGAGGGAGGGGAAAGAGAGAGAGAGAGAGGAGGGGGGGGGGGAGGGAGAGAGAGAGAAGAAGAGAGAGAAGGAGGGAGGAGAGAGGAGAGAGAGAGAGAGGAGGGAGGGAGAGAGAGAGAGAAGAGAGAGAAGGAGGGAGGGAGAGAGAGAGGAGAGGAGGGAGGGAGGGAGGGAGAGAGAGAGAGAAGGATGGAGGGAGGGAGAAGAGAGAGAGAGAGAGGAGGGGGAGGGAGAGAGAGAGAGAGAGAGAAGGAGGGAGGGAGGGAGGGAGGGAGGGGGAGGGAGGAAGGGAGGGAGGGAGGGAGGGAGGGAGGAGAGAGAGAGAGAGAGAGAGAGAGAGAGAGAGAGAGAGAGAGAGAGAGAGAGAGAGAGGAAGTTTAGCTGTTTGAGAGTCGCTGGCCCTTCAGGTACCAAATGACTCCAAGGACCGACTCAATGCAGAAAGGCATCAGATTAAAAAATAAAAAAAGGGGGGAAAAAAGAGGGTGCTTTGTTCGGGTCCCCCAAACCAGGTGGCTGAGCCACATTCAAAAGCTTGTCAATCTCGGAGAGCCATCTTCTTCAGGCGGTGTTTTTCAGTCTTGAACACTTTGGCTCCCGGAATTCCCCAGCCAGCATTCTGGGAATTGAAGTCTACATCTCTTAAAGCATTTTGGGATGGGGGATTCTGGGAGTTGAAGTTCACCCATTTTACAGCATGCTGCCTGGAGGATTCTGGGAGCTGATGTCCATTCATCTTAAAGCATGCTGACTGGGGGATTCTGGGAGTTGACGTCCACCCATCTTATAGTATTTTGGATGGTGGATTCTGGGAATTGAAGTCCATCCATCTTAAAGCATTTTGGATAGGGAATTCTGGGAGCTGAAGTCCACCCATCTTAAAGCATGCTAGCTGGGGGATTCTGGGAGCTGAAGTCCACCCATCTTAAAGCATGTTGGCTGGGGAATTCTGGGAGCTGAAGTCCATCCATCTTAAAGCGTGATGACTGGGGGATTCTGAGAGCTGAAGTCCACCCATCTTAAAGCGTGATGACTGGGGGATTCTGGGAGTTGAAGTCCACCCATTTTAAAACCTGCTGCCTGCAGGATTCTGGGAGCTGACGTCCATCCACCTTAAAGCATTTTTGATGGAGAATTCTGGGAGCTGAAGACCACCCCTTTGAAAGCAGGCTGCCCAGGGGATTCTGGGAGCGGAAGTCCACCCCTCTCAAAGTTGCCTTCCGATGAGCATCCCGGGTGTTTGCTGAGCCTTCCAGCCCCTCTGCCCTCTTTCTCCCCCAATCCTTTCCCTCCCTGCCCCACAGGATTCTCACCTGCAGCCTCTCTGTTCTCTGGTCTCTTCTCCCGACCGTCCTGTTTCCACCGGGTCAGAGCACAGCTTAAACCCAAGTACACAACTCTCACAGCCCTGACAACGCTGCTGCAGCCAGAGGGCCTCCTACCTCTATTTCTAAATGGACGCAGGTGGCCAGGCCCTCCCTAGCAATGTTTTCAAGGACCTCTCGGCTCAGCCCGTAGTGGAAGCCGCTGTATTTGAAAGTGACTATAAACTTCCCCTGAAACGAGAAAAAACAACAACAACAACAACGGAAGCCCAGGTGAGGCAAGCAGCAAAGGACGAGCGTTTTTAGAACAAGCCTCGCCTGGGTCCGAGCACACCTTAGTTTTGATATTTTCCAGCTATCCTCCTCTTGTGGGGTCCCTGGTGCTCTCTGAGCTGGGTGGTCTTCTTGCAGACGTTTCAGGACCGAATTAGGTAACATCATCAGGGCTAGGAGGGGAGTAGGGTTGGCTTAGTCGCTTGTGGCGCTGATGATGCTATCTAGTTGGGTCATGAAATGTCTGCAAGAAAACCACCAAGCTCAGAGAGCATTGAGGATTCCACCGTTATTCTCCTCCTCCTCCTCCTCCTCCTCCTCCTCCTCCTCTCCACAAATCCCCCCTCCCATCTAGCACTGATGATGTTCCCTAGTTGGGTCATGAAACGTCTGCAACAAAACCATCAAGCTCAGAGAGCATCCAGGTCCCCTTAGTTCTTTTCCTTCCTTCCTTCCTTCCTTCCTTCCTTCCTTCCTTCCTTCCTTCCTTCCTTCCTTCCTTCCTTCCTTCCTTCCTTCCTTCTCCTCCTTCTTTCCACTCCTTCCTAACACTGATGATGTTTCCTACGTGGGTCATGAAATGTCTGCAAGAAAATCACCAAGCTCAGAGAGCACCAAGGACACCTTAGTCCATTTCCTCCTCCTCTTCCTCTCTGCAAACCCCCCTCCCATCTAGCACTGATGATGTTCCCTAGTTGGGTCATGAAACGTCTGCAAGAAAACTACCCAGCTCAGAGAGCATCCAGGTCCCCACAGTTCTTCTCCTTCCTTCCTTCCTTCCTTCCTTCCTTCCTTCCTTCCTTCCTTCCTTCCTTCCTTCCTTCCTTCCTTCCTTCCTTCCTTCCTTCCTTCCTTCTCCTTCTCCTTTCCACTCCCTCCTAACACTGATGATGTTTCCTACTTGGGTCATGAAATGTCTGCAAGAAAACCACCAAGCTCAGAGAGCACCAAGGACACCTTAGTCCATTTCCTCCTCCTCCTCCTCCTCCTCCTCCTCCTCCTCTTCCTCCCTGCAAACCCCCCTCCCTTCTAGCGCTGATGAAGTTCCCTAGTTGAGTCATGAAATGTCTGCAAGAAAACCACCCGGCTCAGACAGCACCCGTTCGAATCCTCCAAGCGCTGCCAACCTACGACACCAAAGGGGGTGGAAGGACACACACACACACAAGAAACTTCCCAGCTTTCCTCAATCTCTGAAGCTCCAAACCTCTCTTCCTTTTGGTCCACCCTAGGCCGGACCTGCAGACTGCTCCCTTGGTCGCCCTCCGAAAGGCTGGCCTCTTCCTTCTTACCGTATTCACCATCTTGTCAAATTCCTCCTGGGATACGTAGTAGTAATCTAGTCGGTTCTCTTCTCCGAAATAAGGGCTCCTCGTGGTGTGACAGGGGCTGAGAAGGAAGCAGAGCAGGAAGAGGAGCTATGGCGTACCCCAGTGTTTCCCAAACTTGACCATTTTAAGGCATGTGGACTTCAACTCCCAGAATTCCACAGCCAGCAACACTGGCTGTGGAATTCTGGGAGTTGAAGTCCACATGCCTTAAAATGGTCAAGTTTGGGAAACACTGGCGTACCCACTCTCTATTCTTCTTTTCCCTTCCTTGGCAACATACTACCTCCACTGGCTCCCCAACGCGCTGGGGCTCCTACCTGTATCTGAAATAGTTGTTGAACTTCCGACAGAGCCTGTGACACAGCTCTCGCTTCCAACAGGCCAAAGGTCCAGTCAAGACCAGCATGGGGTAGGGGGCATCAAGGCTGGGCAAGGTGCTGTAGGAAGAGAAGAAAAAGCTTGCCGACGTCCCTCACGGGGGCCAACATGAGTGGGCTTCCTCGCTGATGTCACAGATCAGCGACGGCCAACCTTTTAGAGCAGTGGTTCTCAACCTTTTTAATGCCGTGCCCCCCCCAACCGGTTGTAAGTCGAGGACGACTCAACCGGTCGTAAGTCGAGGACGACTCCACTGGTGCAGCACCGTTTGCAGAATGGGACTTTGGGCGGGCTCAGCAGGGCAGAGACAGCCTGGACAATTCCGATTGGCTTTGGAAAGCCAATAGAATTAGACTCTATTCAAGAGAGTCTATTCTATTGGCTTTCAAAAGCCAATAGAATAAAAGGGAGTAGCACAGCTAAGGAAAAGGGGGGAAAAAATGGCGGACTGCGTTGTTTGGCGACCCCGTGAAATGGTCGTTCGACCTCAAATGGGGTCCCGACCCACAGGTTGAGAACCACTGTTTTAGAGGCCGTGTGCCCAAACCGCAACCCAAAACCCACTTACTTATCGCAAAGTGCCAGGGCCGCATCAGCATTGTGATGTCCTTGGGGGGGGGGAAGGGCAGGGAGGCGCCTCTGGGTGCCCTTTCTGCCACGCAAAAACCCGGGGACGCAAAAATGGGCCACCGTGCTGCAAGGCGCAAAAACGGCCACCGCCGCACCGCGGGGTGCAGACACAAGGCGCTGCACCACGCAAGAACAGGGCAAAGCTAGCGAGTCTCAGGCAGGCACTAGCCCCGCCCCATTTGCAGCGCGTGCGTGCTTGCGGCCCCATGCGCGCATGTAAAAGGCTTCCCTCTCCTTTTTCTTCCAGTCCACCGATCGACAATAGTTGGTGACCTGTGCTCTTATCACTACTCGTGCTTGCTAGTCGGCTGCTTCACCTCCTTTGTGCTAGGCGGGGCTCCTGCTCTGGGCGGCGGTGGCGCACGTGCCAACAGAGTGGGCTTCGAGTGCCGCCACATGGACCGCATGGACCATATAAAGCAGGGGTCTTCAAACTTGGCCCTTTGATGACTTGTGGACTTCAACTCCCAGAATCCTCCAGACAGCATGGACCATATAAGCCAAGGGTCTTCCAACTTGGCCCTTTGATGACTTGTGGGCTTCAACTCCCAGAATTCCTCAGCCAGGCATGCTGGCTGAGGAATTCTGGGAGTTGAAGTCCACAAGTCATCAAAGGGCCATGTTTGAAGACCCCTGTCTTAAATCTGACAAACAAAATGGAGGCTGGCTGAGGAATTCTGGGAGTTGAAGTCCACAAGTCATCAAAGGGCCAAGTTGGAAGACCCCTGGCTTATATGGTCCATGCTGGCTGAGGAATTCTGGGAGTTGAAGTCCATGAGTCATCAAAGGGCCAGGTTTGAAGACCCCTGTCTTAAATCTGACAAACAAAATGGAGGCTGGCTGAGGAATTCTGGGAGTTGAAGTCCACAAGTCATCAAAGGGCCAAGTTTGAAGACCCCTGTCTTAAACCTGACAAACAAAATGGAGGCTGGCTGAGGAATTCTGGGAGTTGAAATCCACAAGTCCTAAAAGGGCCAAGTTGGAAGTCCCCTGACGTAGAGACTTGAGAGGGGGCTGCTCCTTTGACTACTCCGGAGGAAGAAAGTTGAAGACGGCGTGAAGCCACCATAGCTGCACGTTCTCATCCCTCCCAGGGGAGTTTTTAAGGATCCACGGGGTCCTATGAAAGAGTTCTTTGCATCTCTCCATTTGGGCGTGAGGGACCGTCTCTGCTCCGAGAGATCGTGGTGAGGGAAGGAAGAGAGGGGAAGAATTGCTTCCGAACGGCGAGAGGGGGGGGGACTAATCCCATACCGCCTGGGTGCGTTCTGAGACACAACCGCGTTTGGACCAAGGAGGAGAGCGGAGGAAAGGCCGAAGGCCACGTCACGAGAGGAAGAGGAGGAAGGCCGGGTCACCTGTTGAAGACGTGCTGAGGTTGCATCATGCTGTACATGACGTGGCTCATGTGGTCCTGAGCGGCCACCACTTCCTGAGGCGGGTCGTACTTGTTCAAGGCGGCAACCTGCACCCGGTCAGGAAAAAAAAGGGGGAAATATAGGTTAGTTAGGCGCACAGGTAATCCTCGCCTTTGCAAGGGGGCGCAGTGGTTAGAAGGCAGTACTGCAGGCTAATTCTGTTGGCTGCCCACTGCCGGCACTTCGGCAGTTCGATCCTGACTGGCTGAAGGTTGACTCAGCCTTCCATCCTTCCGAGGTGGTTTCAAATGAGGACCCAGATTGTTGGGGGGGGGGGGGAGAAGCAGGCTGATTCTGCAAACACTCAGAAAGGGTTGTAAAGCGCTGTGAAGCGGTGTATAAGTCTAAGGCAGTGGTTCTCAACCTGTGGGTCGGGACCCCATTTGGGGTCGAACGACCATTTCACGGGGGTCGCCAAACAACGCAGTCCTTTTCCTTAGCTGTGCTACTCCCTTTTATTCTATTGGCTTTTGAAAGCCAATAGAATAGACTCTCTTGAATAGAGTCTAATTCTATTGTCTTTCAAAAGCCAATAGGAATTGTCCAGGCTGTCTCTGCCCTGCTGAGCCCGCGAAAAGTCCCATTCTGCAAACGGTGCTGCACCAGTTAAGCAGTCCTCGACTTATGACCGGTTGGGGGGTCGCGGCATTCAAAAGGTTGAGAACCACTGGTCTAAGGGCTATTGCTAAGTTGGGAGGATGGAAGGAAGGAAGGAGGGAGGAAGGGAGGGAGGGAGGAAAAAAGGAAGGGAGAGAGAGAGGGAGAGAGGGAGGAAAAAAGGAAGGAAAGAAGGAAGGAAGGGAGCAAGGGAGGAACAAAGGCAGGGAGGAAGGAAGGGAAGGAAGGAAGGAAGGCAGGGAGGAAGGAAGAAAGGCAGGTAGGGAGAGAGGGAGGGAGGGAGGAAGGAAGAAAGGGAGAGAGGAAGGAAAAAAGGAAGGAAGGAGGGAGGGAGGGAAGAAAAAAGGAAGGAAAGAAGGAAGGGAGGGAGGGAGGAAGGAAGGAAGGAAGGGAGCAAGGGAGGAACGAAGGCAGGGAGGAAGGAAAGGAGGGAGGGAGGGAGGAAGGAAGGAAGGCAGGGAGGAAGGAAGAAAGGCAGGTAGGGAGAGAGGGAGGGAGGGAGGAAGGAAGAAAGGGAGAGAGGAAGGAAAAAAGGAAGGAAGGAGGGAGGGAGGGAAGAAAAAAGGAAGGAAAGAAGGAAGGGAGGGAGGGAGGAAGGAAGGAAGCAAGGAAGCAAGGGAGGAACGAAGGCAGGGAGGAAGGAAAGGAGGGAGGGAGGGAGGGAGGGAGGAAGGAAGGAAGGAAGGAAGGAAGGAAGGAAGGAAGGAAGGAAGGAAGGAAGGAAGGAAGGAAGGAAGGAAGGAAGGGGGGACCTTTACCTTTTCCTCCACGGAGATCTTCTGGTGATCCAGTTCGGTCAGACGGAGCAGCATAAAAATCACCAGGAGCCAATAATCTTCTAGTTCCTGGGAAAACGCACAGCACTGAAATTTCAATTCTGCCATTCTGGCTGATAACAGGAAGAGTTATTTTATTATTTTTGCTTCTTCTCTCGGAGTCTGAGACAGGAGGCAGGGAAGGCAGTGACGCTCGGGGGAAATAGCAGTTTCGTTTAGCGACCGTTCAAAGTTACAACAGCTCCGGGGGGGGAAAAAAGGGACACAGGACCCCTTTCTCAGACTCACAGACGTTGCAGGGATCAACATTCGCACCTTTAGCCACCGACTCGTGACCCCCACCGAAGGCGGCAGGTTCTTATCGGCCGCCAGAGTTAGCCCTCGGCTTACGACCGTTCATTTAGTGACCGCGCAAAGTTACAACGGTGCTGGGGGGGAAAAAAGGAGCGTTTTTTACACTTCAGACCCTTGCGCCGTCTCCGTGATGGGTCACGTGATCAAAATCCAGAGGCTTGGAAATTGGCATGTACTTACGACGGTTTGCAGTGATTCTCCTTTGGCGACCTTCTGGCACGCGAAGTCAAGGTGGCGAGGGGGAGAAGCCGGATTCTCTTAACGACCGGGTTACTGACTGAAACAGCCGCAGCGATTCGCTTAATGGCTGTGGCCGTGGGGGAAGGCAAAATGGGGCAAAGTTCCCTTGACCAGTGTCTTGCTTAGCGACAGAAATTTGGTCGTTAAGCCGAGGACTAATTGCTTCCCCTGCGAATCCACAGTTGGACCCTCCTCTTCCTCACAGCTGTATAAAAAGTGGGAGAAGGGAGTGAGCCAGGTCAAGGAGAGCGAAGGGCTATGCGGCAGCAAGAAAAGCTCCAAAGGTTTGAAAGCTCTCCTACTTGGAGTGTGCGTTTGTGTGGGGTTGGACTAGAAGACCTCCCGGGGTCCCTTCCCACTCTGCGTTCTGTAATTCTGCACAGGGAGCCTTCAGCTTACAAACTGCTCCATCACTGGAGGTTTTTAGGAAGAGACGGGACAGACACCTGTCTGAAATGGTATTAATAAGGTCTCCTGCTTGAGCAGGGGTTTATAATAGTAATAATAATGATAAAGTTGGAAGGGAGCTTGGAGGTCATCTAGTGCAACCCCCTGCTCAGGCAGGAAACCCTATGCCATTTCAGACAAACAGCTGTCCAGTCTCTTCTTGAAAACTTCCAGTGTTGGAGCATTCACCGCTTCTGGAGGCAAGGAGTTCCACTGGTTAATTGTTCTGTCAGGAAATTTCTCCTTAATTCTAGCTTGGATTTCTCCTTGATTAGTTTCCATCCGTTGCTTCTTGTCCTGCCTTCAGGCGCTCTGGAGAATAGCTTGACTCCCTCTTCTTTGGGGCAGCCCCTGAGATACTGGAACACTGCTATCATATCCCCCCTCGTCCTTCTCTTCGTTAAACTAGACACCCCCAATTCCAGCAACCGTTCCTTATATGGTATTAATAAGATCTCCTGCTTGAGCAGGGGGTTGGACTAGAAGACCTCCCGGGGTCCCCCCGGCTCTATTCTGAATTTGAAATCTGGATTAAACAGCTGGGCCTCCCACCAGGGACAAATCCCCGGTGGGTTGAGCCCAGCAACTTCGACCGAGCAGAAAAACGCTGATTAAACAGGTGATATTTCTTCCCCGGCCCCCTGGGGACCTATTCCGAAGACTCTCTAAATTAAAACTCGAGACGCGAGTGCTTCGTCTTCTACCCCGCTCAGAAAAAAAAAAGTCCTAAACAGATGCTGGATCAGGCAGAGATGTCAGATTTTACTCTGATTTAAATGTTGCTGCTGTGGCAGACGAGAGTCCCGTGGCTTGTGCGTCACACAACACCATCACATCCATCGTGCAGGAATGAGGACTAGCCACTTTGTCTTCAGAGGTCTGCAGATGTTTTGGGAAAGGGGAAGAAGCCTTCACTTCTTTCCGCCTTTTGGGTAAAATCCTTCCCTTCATTCTTGCCCTTGGAACCCTCGCGGCTTGCACATTTGCAAGCCAACGGAATAGCAGAGTTGGAAGGGACCTCGGGAGGTCTGCTAGTCCAGCCCCCCCCCCAAGCAGGAGATCTGAGGTTTCCTGACTCTGAAGCTTCTCAGGACTCGGAGAAAAAAAACCATACGGCCAGGCCAACGAAAACAGGCAATGATGCAAACGCTGCTCTTCTCGCAATGCATTCTGGGAGGCAACTGAGCCTAACATCGCACTTCAAGACTACGGGCGGGGGGGGGGGGGAGAAGTTATTAAAGACCCTGCAGAGACCAAATTAATTAGCCCTTAATCAAGCAAAACCAAACACATCTCCGTTCCGGCCAGGTCAACTGTCCTACTTTGCAGCCGTGGGTGTATTTATTGATATGTCTGATCTGTTTCTTTCTTTGTTCAACTTAAATGCCATCCAGGAGTCGTTGTGGTGCAGAATGCAGACGCTGAATGCAGGCAAAACTCTTCCCACCGTCTGGAGTTCGATCCTGACCGGCTCAAGGTTGACTCGGCCGTCCATCCTTCCGAGGTCGGTAAAATGAGGACCCAGATTGTTGGGGGGGGGGCAAAAGGCTGACTCTGTAAACCGCTTAGAGAGGGCTGTAAAGGCACTGTGAAGCGGTATATAAGTCTAAGGGCTATTGCTATTTCTTTCTCACTACGCAAAGAAACTCTGGGTGATGTTCCTGTCCTTTTGTTGTTGTTAATTGCGAAGTCGTGTCCGACCCATCGCGACCCCATGGACAACATTCCTCCAGGTCTTCCTGTCCTCTACCATCTTCTGGAGTCCTGGTGGACTTCCTGTCCTGGTGGACTCTATCTCAAATCTGCCACTTATTTGCCATACCAAATGACGTTAGCGTGAGAAACATTTACAGCTGATTTGATTCCATCGCTGATTTGATTTCTTCCTTACCTGAACGGGATTCTTCAACAGATTGAACACTCTCAGCAGAGGCAGAGATTCAATATATTCCAGCTCACTCAGTTCAGACACCTGATGACAAGAAGAATGGTATTGATTAAAGGAGAGAGAGAGATATAAGTGGATGTAATAGATTAACAGACACGATAGAGAGATAACATACTAGATAAACAGACATGATAAGCAGACATGATAGATAAACAGACATGACAGATGGACCGATATGATAGAGATGGAGATAGACAACAGATAAACAGATATGATAAACAGACATGACAGATAGACAGACATGATAAACAGACACGATAGACTTAGATAGATTGATCAATCGATCGATAGATGATAGATAAAAAGATATGATAGATGATAAAGACATAAATAAAAAGACATGATAAATAGACATAGACATAGAGACAGATAAAGACATGATAAACAGACATAGACATAGATAGACATAGATAAAAAGATAGACATGCTAGATACATAGATGATAGACAGATAAAAAGATAGATGATAAATAAATAGACATAGGTAAAAAGATGATAAACAGACATGCTAGATACATAGAGACAGACAAAAAGATAGATATGATAAATACATAGATAAAAAGATGATAAACAGACATGCTAGATACATAGATGATAGACAGATAAAAAGATAGATATGACAGATAAATAGACATAGATAAAAAGATGATAAACAGATGCTAGATACATAGAGACAGATAAAAAGATAGATATGATAGATAAATAGACATAGATAAAGATGATAAACAGACATGCTAGATACATAGAGACAGATAAAAAGATATATATGATAAATACATAGATAAAAAGATGATAAACAGACATGCTAGATAGAGACAGATAAAAAGATAGATATGATAGATAAATAGACATAAAAAGATGATAAACAGACATGCTAGATAGATGATAGACAGATAAAAAGATATATATGATAAATACATAGATAAAAAGATGATAAACAGACATGCTAGATAGAGACAGATAAAAAGATGATAAACAGACATGATAGATAGATAGACAGACAGACAGACAGACAGACAGACAGACAGACAGACAGACATAGATAAAAAGACCTGATAAACAGACATGATAGACAGACAGACAGACAAGGCCTTATTCTGTGGTTTCTTCCATCGTTTGTCAGGTGTTCAGGGGAGGAGTGCCCCAAAGCAGCTAGCAAATGTGTCTCCTCTACCGTATCGACCTTACCTGGTTATTTTCCAGGTTGATGTTCTCCAGGAGGTTGTGCTCTTCCAGACCCTCCAAGCTGCTGATCTGGTTGTCGGACAAGTCCAGCACCTGTAGCACCTTGAGGCCTTCCAGGCCCACCGCCTTCACGATCTGGTTCGATTTCTACCGAGAGAATCACAGGCGTCTCCCTAACCAAACATGGCTGGCCTTTGGGCAAGGCCGAGCACCACCCCCGAGGGACCCAGATGGCTTGCTTCACACATGCTTGCTTGCACATTGTTTAATTTTTTTCTACGCAGGTGGCCCTCGACTTACAAGAGTTCATTCAGGGACCGCTCAAAAGTTACGACGATCGCGGTCAGGCGATCAAAATTCAGAGCCTTGGCAAAGGGTTCCTATTTATGACGGTCGCCGTGTCCCCGGGGGTCACACGATCCCTTTTGAACGGCCTTCCAACCCAGCAAAGTGAATGGGGGAGGCCAGATTCACTTAACAACCCTGTGACTCGTTTAACAACGGCAGCGATTCGCTTATCAGACGTGATGAGAAAAGCCGTAAAAATGGCTACCTCCGCTGCAAAATTGAGGGTGGAATTACATCCCATCCCATGTTGTCCAGGTGATGGTCGTCTTTCAATTAGCTGAGAATAAATCCAGATTCTTAAAATGTAGGGAAAGGGTGTGGAACGATGGCCCCATGTTGGCTCAGGAATTCTGGGAGTTGAAGTCCACAAGTCATAAAGGGGACATCCAGCCATGATGGCTCAGGAATTCTGGGAGTCGAAGTCCATGAGTCATCAAAGGGCCATCGTTCTCCATCACTGATGTAGGGCTTCAAAGTCCCCCCAATCATTCTTTGCAACAAACCAACATATTATGTCAGGAAAGAAGTCATCTCAGGAAACACACGCAGACTCACCAGGCAGAGAGTTTTGATGGGCAATTTTTTCAAGCCGGTAATTGCTTTGATTTTGTTATTTGCCAAGCTCAGGTAGGTCAGGTTGTGGCATTTCTCCAGACCTTGTATCTCCGTGATGTTGTTATCTGGCCAGAATTAAGAAATGAAACGGCAGATTGTATGATAAAATGGGCTCAGAATTTTCAGGAACCGATTTCATTGGACATATGGGAGGTAATTCGGATTAGAAATGTTAAATTTACGCAGGCTCAAAATTTGAGGGAAAATTTTTATAAAATGTTTTATAGATGGCATCTGGATCCTAAAAAGTTGTCTTGTATGTACCCGAACCTGCAACCTAAATGTTGGAGATGCGGTTGCTTGGATGCAACCTATTTTCATGTTTGGTGGACTTGTAAAAATATTAAAGCCTTTTGGATTATGACTTGGTGGAACATTCAAAAGGTTTTTTAAAAGAAGATTAAGTTTACTCCCCAGTTGTTTCTTTTGGGTATTTTTGTGGATTTTGATGCTAAAGAAACTATCTTAATGTTGAATTTAATAACAGCAGCAAGATTATTGGTGGGTCAATATTGGAAGAAGGATACTCTGCCTTCTTTAGAAGAATGGGTATTTAAGGTTTCTAATTTAGCAGAAATGGCTAAAATTTCTGCTTATTTAAAGGACCATTCACAAGAGAGATATTTTAATGTATGGAGAAGATGGATAGAATATGTTCAGAAAAAGTATGGAACTACAAAGTTTCATTTATTTTATGAGTAATGAATTTGTTTATAAATTTATGATGTCAAAGTTTGAAGAGAGTTAAGGGTTAGTATGATTTTGGTTATTGTATAATTAGTAAACTTAAATAGATTATGTTTAATATGTTTGTATAACCCTATACTTGGCTCTGGGAAGTGGGGGGAGGAGGGGGCAGGGGGGTGGGGGGAGGATGGGTTGAAGTTTAAGTAGCTCAGATAAGTAGAGATAGTTTTATTGTATATAATATTGATGTTTTAATTGGGAGAGAGGAATTGCTCGGGCATTTCCCCTGGACCATCCGGAGCGAGAAGATAGGAAGAAGGGGAGAAGCAAGTAGGAAGGTTGAGGAGAAGGAGGAGAGGGGGAGAGTGAGGAAGAAGAGGAAGAAGAGGGAAAGAGGCAAGTTGGTTAGAGGGTGGATGCGGTTTGGGAGGAAATGGGTGAGCAATACCGAAAGTGGTGTGTATCAATTTGTTTTATTTTTTATCTGAAGTATTTTTATGAATGTAATGCATTGTAAAATTGAAAATAAAATTTTTTTACAAAAAAAAAAAAAAAAAAAAAATGAAACGGCAGCCTAGAAGGAGACCAGATCCTAGGCCCAGCTGAAGGACTGGGGAGAAAAGCTCCACGGTCTTGAGGGACTGACTGAGAACTGGTCCCCGCCTCGTAAAGCTTCTTCTTTTTCTTCTTAGTGGGGGGTTCCTTTCTTAAAAGTGGTCCAAAATCAAAGAGGCCTAGACAACTTTGGAAAAGCAGCACCAAGAGAAAGTTCTTGGAAGTTGTCTGCTCTTCTAGACGGGCGGTATCTGTGAAGCAGAAGGTGACCGTGGAGATTTTCTCCGGCGACTTTCCCATTTGTCCCAAAGGTGCTTTTCCAAAAGGCAATGGGACTTTCTTGGTTTTTGGTTTTCCCTTAAAACAATGGTTCTCAACCTGTGGGTCGGGACCCCATTTGGGGTCGAACGACCATTTCACGGGGGTCGCCAAACAACGCAGTCCGCCATTTTTTTCCCCCTTTTCCTTAGCTGTGCTACTCCCTCTATTCAAGGCTCTCTTGAATAGAGTCTAATTCTATTGGCTTTCAAAAGCCAATAGGAATTGTCCAAGCTGTCTCTGCCCTGCTGAGCCCCCCAAAAGTTCCATTCTGCAAACGGTGCTGCACCAGATGAGTAGTCCTCGACTTATGACCGGTTGAGTAGTCGACTTACAACTGGTTGGGGGGTCGCAGCATTAAAAAGGTTGAGAACCACTGCCTTAAAACATTTCGCTTCTCATCCGAGATGCTAGTTCACCTCTGTCAAGAGTGAAAACTTGGCAGCTACGTGCCTTATTGCTTTCATCTCGTCATTAGAGTATGGTGGTGGTGGTGGTGGGGAGAGATGAGGCTTAATGTTGATGGTATCCAAGCAATGCTGAGCTATTTTGGCAACTTATCCCATGAATCTTGAGCAACTGACTCAGGAATCCCTGGGGGGAAGCCGCAGATGAAGAATATTTTTAATATTCCACATCTTGAAATTAAAAACAGGCTTGGTTTCCAAATCTCTATTTACTGACTTCACTGTGCGTAGCCTTTTTTTTTTTTTGAGTGTGTGTGTGGGGAGGAGGATGTGCTTGATAAATTATTCCCCTTCAAGCACTTATATGTTATTATTTTGTTTTGAGAAAAAGGAAGCTGCTCAAATGAAATCAGGGTTAAAGAAAGAAAAAAGAAAGAAGAAAAAGAAAGAAAGAAAGAAAGAAAGAGAAAGAAAGAAGAAAGAAAGAAAGAAAGAAGGAAAGAAAGAGAAAGAAAGAAAGAGAGAGAGAAAGAGAGAAAGAAAGAAAGAGAAAGAAAGAAAGAAAAGAAGAAAGAAAAAGAAAGAAAGAAAGAAAGAGAGAGAGAGAAAGAAAAAAAGAAAAGAAAGAGAGAGAGAGAAAGAAAGAAAAAAAGAAAGAAGAAAAAGAAAGAAAGAAAGAGAGAGAGAAAGAAAGAAAGAGAAAGAAAGAAAGAGAGAGAGAGAGAGAGAGAGAAAGAAAGAAAGGGAAAGAAAGAAAGGGAAAGAGAAAGAAAGAAAGAGAGAAAGAGAGAAAGAAAGAAAGAAAGAAAGAAAGAAAGAAAGAAAGAAAGAAAGAAAGAGAGAGAGAGAGAAAGAAAGAAAGAAAGAAACCTGAAAGTCTATTTCAGCCAGGAGAATTTATCCCAAGATACAGCTCTCTGCTCCGGAGGCAGAATTGTGTTTCCAAGGGACCCGTTAGTGAAGGATCGGTCCCAATCTGAAGACAATTGGGAGGAAATCTGCGTCAATACTTTGCCGTCCCCTGGCATGCGATATACACAACAAGCAGGCTATTACTGAGGGAAGAGGCAAGATGTTCCACAGTTGCTTTTCTCAAGAGGCAACAAGACTTTTCTGTTTCGCTTCTCATCCCAGAAGCTTCTTCAGCTCTGACTGGATGGCGGGGAACGGAAGAATTTATACTTCTTGCAGAGAGCTGGTCATTTGCAATTTTTTAGAGAGTCGATGAAGCCACTTGGGGGTTTGTCTGTGTCCTCAGGGTCAGCTGAGTAGTGCAAATGGGTGTTCCAGCCCTTTCAGCAGCTCCAAGAAGGCTCCACACCCATTTGCACCACTCAGGTGACCCTGAGGACACAGACAAACCTCCAGGTGGTCTCAACGACCCTCTAGAAGAATGCAAATGACCAGCTATCTGCAAGGGGTATAAATCCTTCCATTCCCCACCATCCAGTCAGAGCTGAAGAAGCTTCCGGAATGAGAAGTGAAATGTCTTCAAAGAAAAGCAAGTAAGACCAGTTGAAAAAGCACCACTGAGGACACAGGTAATCCTCCAGGTGGCCTCAACGACCCTCTAAAAGAAGGCAAATGACCAACTATCTGCAAGGAGTATAAATCCTTCCATTCCCCACCATGCAGCGGGAACAAATTCCTTGTGTGTCCAACCACGCTGGGCCAATAAAGAATTCTAATTCTATATTCTATGAAGAAGCTCTTCACAAAATGACCGCCAGAGTAGGTTTGATCGGTCCCAAAATATCCGGTGGATGGGAAGGCAAATTAACACACCCTCCAATCAGAACGACTACAAAGCGAATTGCTGCAATTAAAAAGCCCGGGGCGGCTTTTGCTGTATGCCTTACAACCTTCCAAATTTGTTTATTTTTTTTTTTAATAAAAAGATCTTCTATTAAAAAGGCAGTTGGGATGGGGAACCTACTGGCGTTCCAATGGACTCTGTTCTAAATGCACCATTTGCCAAAAACAAAACCCACCGAAAACCCACACTAAAGGATACTGTCCAGTATGAGCTTTTTCAGGGACTGGTAATTGGAAAGGTCTTGCATTTCTGGAATGTCGTTGTAGGAAAAATTAGCCACCTGGAAAGAGAACAAAAAACGGGAGAATACGTGAAGATGTCCTAGCTTGCCATCCAGCCTAGCTGTGAGCGCTAACTAGCAGTCAGAGGACATGAGGAACACTCCTTTAATGGCGCAACACACCGACAGACTTCGCCATAGTTTCAGTTGGGAAACTGTGAGCATCCTAGACCAGGGTTAAGCAACCTTGGCTCTTTTATGACTGGTGGACTTCAACTCCCAGAATTCCTGAGCCAGCCATGCCGAGGGGAAAGGGAGAGGTTTCCAAGCTGAGCCAGGCTGGCTCAGGAATTCTGGGAGTTGAAGTCCACGAGTCATGAGGGGGCCAAAGTTTCCCCATGCTGGCTCAGGAATTCTGGGAGTTGAAGCCCACGAGTCATAAAGCGGCCTAGGCCTAGGCAGGAGGTAGGCAATCTTGGCTCTTTTATGACTCGTGGACTTCAACTCCCAGAATTCCTGAGCCAGCCATGCTGAGGGGAAAGGGAGAGGTTTCCATGCTTAGCCATGCTGGCTGAGGAATTCTGGGGGTTGAAGTCCACGAGTCATAAAAGAACCAAGGTTGCCCACCCCTGCGCCTAGATCAGGGTTCTTCAAACTTGGCAACTTTAAGATGTGTGGACTTCAACTCCCAGAATTCTTCAGCCAGCCAGGTGAGGGAATAGAAGGGGAACTAAGCTGGCAGGAACACCCTAGAATCAGAGGTGGGGAACGATGACCCTTTTATGACTGGTGGACTTCAACTCCCAGAATTCCTGAGCCAGCCATGCTGAGGGGAAAGAGAGAGGTCTCTAAGCTGAGCCATGCTGGCTCAGGAATTCTGGGAGTTGAAGTCCACGAGTCATAAAAGAGCCAAGGTTGCCTATCCCTGGTCTAGGAGGCTCACCGCTTAGAACAGGAGGACTAAGGACAGGGGTAGGCAACCTCGGCTCTTTTATGAGTGGTGGACTTCAACTCCCAGAATTCCTGAACCAGCATGAGGGAACTATGGTCCCCTCATGACTTGTGGACTTCAACTCCCAGAATTCCTGAGCCAGCATGGGGGAACTATGGCCCCCTCATGACTTATGGACTTCAACTTCCAGAATTCCTGAGTCAGCATGAGGGAACTATGGCCCCCTCATGACTTGTGGACTTCAACTCCCAGAATTCCTGAGCCAGCATGGGGGAACTATGGCCCCCTCATGACTTATGGACTTCAACTCCCAGAATTCCTGAGCCAGCATGAGGGAATTACGGCCCCCTCATGACTCGTGGTCTTCAACTCCCAAAATTCCTGAGCCAGCCTGGCTCAGCTTGGAAACCTCTCCCTTTCCCCTCAGTATGGCTGGCTCAGGAATTCTGGGAGTTGAAGTCCACCAGTCTTGAAGTGGCCAAGTTTGAGGACCCCTGCTTTAGATGGATTGAAGGAGGCAGTTCGACCGGGCAGCTAAATTTGCAAGGGGTTGTGCGGGATTCAAACCTCAAAGGGCAGAGCTACTGGTTGCAACTCACCTGGAGATTTCTGGGTGGTTTGAAGTCAAAATAGGTGGTTAGTTCATTATGGGAGACGTCCAGTTCCAACAGGTAAGGCATGCGACTGACGCAGGAGAGATCTAAAAAAGAAGGAAAATTGAGACGAGGGGCGTAAAAGGAGGGAGGCGGCGCTCCCGCCTGTCAAATTTTGAGTTCTAGCATTCGAACTGAAGGGCCTTGATTGCTGCCTGTACGTTGCTCAGCTATTCTGTACAGACAGTCCTTGTCGTACGGCTGCAACGGATGCCCCAAATTTGAGCTCAAAACGGAGCCCAAAAGTGAGACATTTGCTAAGGGAGGTTTGCCACATGTTATGACTTTCCTCGCCACGACTCTTAAGTGAATCACTGCCGTTTTAAAAGTTAGGAATAATCATCATCATCATCATCATCATAATAAAGTTGGAAGGGACCTTGGCGGTCATCTAGTCCAACCCCCTGCTCAGGCAGGAAACCCTGTACCAGGGGTAGGCAACCTTGGCTCTTTTATGAGGCGTGGACTTCAACTCCCAGAATTCCTGAGCCAGCATGGAGGAACTATGGCCCCCTTGATGACTGGTGGACTTCAACTCCCAGAATTCCTGTGCCAGCCATGCTGAGGGGAAAGGGACAGGTTTCCATGCTGAGCCAGGCTGGCTCAGGAATTCTGGGAGTTGAAGTCCACAAGTCTTAAAGTGGCCGAGTTTGATGACTCTTGCTTTAGATCAGGGGTAGGCAACCTTGGCTCCTTTATGACTGGTGGACTTCAACTCCCAGAATTCCTGAGCCAGCATGGCTCAGCATGGAAACCTCTCCCTTTCTCCTCAGCATGGCTGGCTTAGGAATTCTGGGAGTTGAAGTCCACCAGTCATAAAAGAGCCAAGGTTGCCAACCCTTGTCCTAAGTCCTCCTGTTCTAAGCGGTGAGCTTCCTAGACCAGGGGTAGGCAACCTTGGCTCTTTTATGACTCGTGGACTTCAACTCTCAGAATTCCTGAGCCAGCCTGGCTCATCATGGAAACCTCTCCATTTCTCCTCAGCATGGCTGGCTCGGGAATTCTGGGGGTTGAAGTCCACCAGTCATAAAAGAGCCAAGGTTGCCACCCCTGCCTATACCATGGTTGTTAAGTGAATCCAGCTTTCCCCCCCACTGGCATGGTTGGTCAGAAGGTCGCAAAAGGGGATGGCCTGACCCCCGGGATACCGCCAAGCCGTCATAAATACGAACCAATTGCCAAGCCTCCGGATTTGGATCGCCTGACCCTGGGGGGCGATTGCTGCAGCGGTCATAAGTGTGAGAAACGGTCACAAGTCCCTTTTTCCGCCCCGTGCCGTCGTAACTTCGAACGGGCCACTGAATGAACGGCTGTAAGGCTGAGGACTACCTGCAGAAGGGCAGACCGCCTCCTAAGACGGTTTCCCGCTGTGGAGCCCACGTACCACGGATTTTATTATTGGAGAGATTGAGCTTCTCAAGGTAGATGTATTTGTCCAGAATTCTGATGTCGGTCAAAAGGTGATCCTGCGGGGATGAAAAAGGAAGAGTAGAGTCAGAAGATCCATCTATTCCAGGGCGTTTCAACCTTTTCACCCATTGTACCACTTTTAGGATATGGCAACATCCGAGGACCACCAGTCGCCTAGCAAGGTGTCAAAAACTTGATGACCCCCCCAAAAAAGGAAAAAAGTGATAAAGTACAGGTAGTCCTCGACTTACAACAGTTCGCTTAGTGACTGTTCGAAGTTACAATGGCCCTGAAAAAAGTGCCCCCCCCCCAAGCCACAGCCGAGCAAGACACCTGCCTGCCTGCCCGGCCATGCTCTTCCTCCTGTCCGAGGTTTTCAGTGTTGTGAGCATTTCTGTTGAGGATTGGCAGCGGGGGTGAGGTGGGGGGGTGTTTGGTTTTTATCCCCCCCCCTCTGCTGGGTGGTTGCAGCAGGTTTTGGTCACTTCACATGACCCTGGGACACTGCGACCGTCATAAATATGAATCCGTTGCCAAGCATCTGAATGTAAATCACAAGACCCTGGAGGCTGCAACATTCCAGCCGATCGGCGCTTTTTCTGGGCTCAGCGGAAGCGCCAGGATCAGTGCTGCTTTCCAGCTGATGGGTGCTTCTTCAGGGCTCAGCAGAAGCGCCAGGATCAGCGCCGAGCTCCAGCTGGAGCCTGGCGCTGATCCTGGCACTTCCGCTGAGCCCTGACAGCCCTGCAGCTCCAGCCGTCTCTCGCTCAGGCTTGTGCGGTGCTGCCGCCGGTTCAGCTCATTCCCCTCTCCCACTACCACTTTTCTAGGGTGGTCACATACCACCTGCCAGGTGCCAATGTACCACAGGTGGTACCCGTACCACTGGTTGAAAAGCCCCGTTCTAGTAGACCTGGCGTAAAAACAGTTAACTGTGAGATGGACCTTGGAGTCCTAGTGGACGATCCCTTGACCCTGAGCCAGCCGTGTGCAGCAACCGCCAAAAAAGCTAATCCAATCCTGGGCTGTATAAACAGAGGCATAGAACGAAGAGGAGGAGGACTGTGGAGTCCTTGGAATCTCAAAGTAATGAAACACGGCTGGCTGGGGAATTCTGGGACTTGAAGTCCAGACTTCTTAAAGTTGCCAAGGTTGAGAAACGACTCAAGTTCTACGTTGAGTTATACTCAAAACTTCTCTAGAAGGCATCAAGTCCAGGCAGAGTTGGACCATGAAGTCCTAAGACTTGATTCTTGCTCTCTGACCTGAAAGTGAACCCTCTAGCCCTGTTCATGCTGGCTGGGGAATTCTGGGAGTTGAAGTCCAGGTTCTCCAAGATAAGGGTGTGCAAGAGATTGGAGTTGAGGCACTCGTGGACTTAAATAACCAATGCCCGATGAAGAACTCTATCCAAAGAGGATTGCAAGATATCCTTCTTTTAACAGGACTGGGAGAGGTGGGAATGCTGGGGACAAGGTCTTCCTAAACCAGTGGTTCTCAACCTTTTTAATGCCACGACCCCCAACCGGTCGTAAGTCGAGGACTACTCAACCGGTCGTAAGTCGAGGACTACTCAACTGGTGCAGCACCGTTTGCAGAATGGGACTTTTGGCGAGCTCAGCAGGGCAGAGACAGCCTGGACAATTCCTATTGGCTTTTGAAAGCCAATAGAATTAGACTCTATTCGAGAGAATCTATTCTATTGGCTTTCAAAAGCTAATAGAATAAAAGGGAGTAGAACAGCTAAGGAAAGGGGGGAAAAAAATGGTGGACTGCGTTGTTTGGTGACCCCCGTGAAATGGTCGTTCGACCCCAAATGGGGTCTCGACCCACAGGTGGAGAACCATTGTTCTAAACTCACCGAAAGCGACAGATGAAGGTAGACACACTCCGTGCCAGAGGCAGAACGCCCCAACGTGTGGAGGGCTGCGGCAACTGCATTTTCACGCAACACGCCATCAAACACCTCCTGCGCGCATGCAAGAGAGAAAGGGAAGCAGAGAAAGACCCGGCTGGGCAGAGCTGGAATAATTCAAATGCAAGATTGATCGCTGGCAACTTGGTGAGGCATACCCAGTAGACAGCAGTTTTTTCCCTTGTGTATTATTATTAATTATTATTATTATTCATCACACAGTCAGCCAGATGTTCAGACTGGATTTGGCATTTTGTCTACTTATCCTTACCCAGGACCTGGGATAGGCAGATGTGGATGTTTGATGGTATTACAGATCTCGTCGCAGGATGGAAGCAGTTCCTAGTAAGGCCTGCCTTTTGCAATTGACTAATGGCGAATTTGTCAATGCCAATGGTGTTCAAGTGGTGCTCCAGTTGTTTTGGGATTGCACCCAAGGCGCCTATGACTATTGGTACTACCCTTGCTTGCTTTTGCCACAGTCTTTCTATTTCTATTTGTAGGTCTTTGTATTTTGTTATCTTTCTCATATTATTATTACTACTATTATTATTATTATTATCGATCATCGCACAGTCAGCCAGATGTTCAGACTGGATTTGGCATTTTGTCTACCTATCGGGTCCTTACCCAGGACTTGGGATAGGCAGATGTGGATGTTTGATGGTATTACAGATATCGTCACAGGATGGAAGCAGTTCCTAATAAGGCCGCCTTTTGCAATTGACTAATAGCGAATCTTACCCAGGAACTGGGATAGGCAGATGTGGCGGTTTGAATCGAAGGTGTTATAGATCTAGTAGCAGGATATCAGCTGTTCTCAGTAAAGCCGCCTTTTGCAACTGACTGATGGCAAATTTGTCAATGCCGAAGGGATCCAGCTGTTTTGGGATTGCACCCAAGAGGCCTTTTACTATTATTATTACTATTATTACTTAAATGTATATGCTGCCCATCTCACGGTCATGCGACTCTGTGCATGTTCCCAATAGACCCAAAGTGACATGATGTGGGATTGCACCCAAGGCATCATCATCATCATCATCATCATTATTATTATTATTATTATTATTATTATTATTAAGGATCAGCTAATGGTGGAAAACTAAATTTTGAGAGCAGGCTGGTTTAAGGCTGTGTGGTAAGGATCAGAGCAAGGAAGAAATCTTTACTTTTTCTAGCCTAGGGCTACTGCAATTTGACAGAAAAGGCTGTTTTTATTATTTTATTACGGTTTTGAACTAGCTCCTCCCGTATATCTCCTAAGAGCCCCCTCCCCAATTCCCGTAATACCCACAGTACTAGGGGCTCCTTCTCAACCAGCCCTCCCGTAAACCTCCTAAGAGGAGCCCCCTCCCCAATTCCAGTAATGCCCACAGTACTAGGGGCTCCTTCTCAACCAGTCCTCCCGTAAACCTCCTAATAGGAACCCCCTCCCCAATTCCTGTAATGCCCACAGTACTAGGGGCTCCTTCTCACCCAGCCCTCCCGTAAACCTCCTAATAGGAGCCTCCTCCCCAATTCCCGTAATGCCCCTATAGGGAGGGGCGCCCTTCCAAAAGCCCCTCCCGCAAGTCTCCGAACCAGAGCCCCTTCCTCAAATTCTCCTAAGAGGCCCCTTTCCAAAATCCCGCAAGAGACTCCGAAAGAGCCCCCTCCTCGAATTTCCTGATATGCCCCGCATAGGGGGGCTCCTTCTCAACCAGCCCTCCCGTAGATCTCCTAATAGGAGCCCCTTCCGAGGCACCGTAATGCCCCGCGTAGACACGCCTTCCCAAAAGCCCCCAGCCCCATCTCCGGTCAGTCTCCTGCGAGCCCCCTCCCCAAGACCGTAATACCCCGTAAAGGGGAGCCCTCCCCAAAAAAACCCCGCCCGTAAATCCCTTAACAAGAGCCCCCTGCTTCCCCCATTCCCCCCCCCCAACGAGACCCTCCCGTAAGTCCCCTAATAGCAGCCCCCCCCCTCCCGCGCCCTTTAGGGGACCCGCGCCCGCACCTCCTCCATGGGCTCCGGCTCGGGCTCCGACTCGGTGGACTCCTCCTCCTCCTCCTCCTCCTCCTGCGGCTGCTCCTCCTCCCCCCGCGGGAGACGCTGGTCCGGGTCGGCGTGGAAGAGCGAGAAGGTGACGGAGGGCGCCGCCACCCAGGACCGCGTCAGCGCCATCCGGTCCTCCAGGGAGGGGCGGCTCGTGTCCCGCCACGACTGGCTGCTCTGCGACTGCACGCTGGGCTGCGACGACAGCGGCGACGGCGACCGCGGCGACGGCGACCGCGGCATCGCCGCGCCTGTCCGGGGAACGGGCGCTGCTCAGGCGCCGCTGGAGGGGCGGAGCGCCGCCATCTTGTTGACGGGCCGTTGCCCAGCGACGCGGAGGGAGCGCGGGGGCGGGCCCTTGCCGACGTCGCGGGGCCGCCGCCAACGTCGCGCGTAGGGCGGCCAGGTTTACGTCGCCGCGCGGGGTGCGACGGGAAGCGTAGTTCGGCCCGGCTGCTCTCTTTACTGCTGCTTGAAAGGGATCCGGTCTCAGCCCCTAGAATGATGACGCTAGGCCAGGGGTCTTCAAACGTGGCCCTTTTAGGATTTGTGGACTTCAACTCCCAGAATTCCTGAGCCAGCAGGGACCATATAAGCCAGGGGTCTTCCAACGTGGCCCTTTGATGACTTGTGGACTTCAATTCCCAGAATTCCTCATAAAAGGGCCACGTTGGAAGACCTTGGCTTATATGGTCCCTGCTGGCTGAGGAATTCTGGGAGTTGAAGCCCACAAGTCATCAAAGGGCCACGTTGGAAGACCCCTGGCTTATATGGTCCATGTGGGCTGAGGAATTCTGGGAGTTGAAGTCCACAAGTCATCAAAGGGCCAAGTTTGAAGACCCCTGGCTTAAATCTAACAAACAAAATGGAGGCTGGCTGAGGAATTCTGGGAGTTGAAGTCCACAAGTCATCAAAGGGCCAAGTTGGAAGACCCCTGTAACAAACAAAATGGAGGCTGGCTGAGGAATTCTGGGAGTTGAAGTCCACAAGTCATCAAAGGGCCAAGTTTGAAAACCCCTGCTATAGGTAGTCCTTGGCTTACAAGTTTTCGTTTAGTGTCCGTTCAAAGTTAACAACATCACGGAAGCAAGGGACTTCTGAGACGGCTTTTCGTTTCTTATGACTGTGGCAGCATCGTCAAAATTCAGACACTTGGCCATTGGAATAGATTTATGATGGTTTACATCCGTGGTCCCCAACCTGTGAGCCCGCTACCAGGCCAGGGGAAAGGCTGGCCAGTGCAGCGAAAATGGGGCCGCGCTAGCACCCATGCGGCAAAAACGGGGCGGTGCTAGCGAGCGTCATATGGGTGTTAGGACAGCCCCATTTGGGTCACCGTGCTCGCGGTCCTATTTGTGCGTCTGTGTGCACATGCATAAAATGCTTCCCCCTCACTTTCCCTCCGGTCCGTCAACCGAGATAGGTTGGAGACCTCTGGTTTACATTGTCCGTGTGTGTGTGTGTGTGTGTGTGTGTGTGTATGATGTGATTGCCTTTGGTGACCTTCTGGCATGCAAAGACATTGTCTTACTTGGCCACACAAATTGTGGGTTGGATTGCGGTTGTAAATCAAGGATTCTCTGTAGCTGAATTGAGAAAGCTGAGTTTCCCCTTTCTGCCTCTTACACCACCGAGCATCAAGGAAGGCCGGTCTTGAGTTTCTTTCTCGCCTGAAGCCATTGCTGGGGCCAAAGCAAGGAAGGTGTTGACCCCCCCAGAATGTATTTAGGACATTTGCTGCGTCCTGGGAGTCACGCGATCCCCGTTTGCGACCTCCTGATAAAGCCAAGTCCAGATTCACTTAATAACCATGTTAGTAACTTCACAATTGCAGGGATTCAACTAACGGCAGAGGCAAGAAAAATGGTAAAATGGGGCAAAATTCTCTTAACAAATGTCTCCCTTATCAACAGAAATGTTGGGCTATATTGTGGTCATAAATTGAGGACTATCTGCACAGCACTGGTGCGAAAGTACCATCTTGAACGGTGGACTCCGAGCTTCGTTGCTTTCCTGCAGATGTTTCACGACCCAGCTAGGTAACAGCTTCAGTCTTACGAAAGTTCGAGCAATTGGCTAAATTTCTGAAAGAACGGATTTGCAGTACGTTTGACACTGCATTGGGGTAGGGTGGGCTAAAGTAACCGGGTGTAAAAAAAAAAACGCCAGAATATACTAAATAAGCATCTTTCCTTCTAACCATGTTTGTTAACTTACCATTCTTTTAAAAAAAATAATCAGGAATTTGGGGAGTGATTTGCCACTCCACGCTTGCAAGATTCTTCTAAAATCAGATTTATTTGCTTTCATTTGCCTCCCCAACCGGCCTGCTTATTCAGTTCCAGCTCTGGCTTGGCTGCAGAAGTAAAACGGCTGTCTTAAATGGTCCATTTAAAAAATATCCTGCTGTGTTTTCCATCTGGACCCGCTGGCTTCTGTGCTCGGGAAAGGCCACCACCCCTAATCAAATTAACAGTTAGGCTGGCAAAACCCCCATCAAAAACTTGAGCTGCTGTCCTGGTGGATATCTTCTATAAGGGAGGGAGGGAGAAAGCTTGGTCTCCCAAGGAACTTTCTTGAATTTTTGGGGGAAAAAAATGGCAGCCTGCCTGCTTAGGTTAATGAGTTCTCCACCCTGAAGTGCTCCAGAGTTTATTTCCCACCATCTGGAAAACACCCTGCCCTTCCAATGGGATTTGCCAAGGTTCAGCCAAGAGAAGGGGTTATGAAAAACTTGAGGAGTGGGAGGGGAAAAAACAAGTTCTTCCATCTAGTTAGCTGCGGCAGAGGAAAAATCCAGGCTGTTGGGCGCCTCTGTCTTGCAAACCGTTCAGATCGCTTTGCACAGTGTTTCTCAACCTTGACCATTTTAAGGCATGTGGACTTCAGCTCCCAGAATTCCACAGCCAGCAATGCTGGCTGTGGAATTCTGGGAGCTGAAGTCCACATGCCTTAAAATGGTCAAGGTTGAGAAACACTGGCTTTGCAGATGCCGTGCTGAAGATTTGTTCAGGTGCAAATCAGGGGTCCTTGGTGGTGGTGGTGGTGGTGGTAGTGGTGGAGGAGGAGGAGGAGGAGGAGGAAGAGGAGGAGGAGGATGGGGTCCTTGGTGCTCTCTGGGCTTGATGGCTTTCTTGCAGACGTTTCATGACCCAACTAAGTAACATCATCACTGCTACAAAAAGTTGTATATAAAAACAGAGAGAAAACCCTTCTAGCACTGATGAAAGATGAATCAAGGAGGGGGGAAAGTCGGAAGAGAGGGAGGGAGGGAGGAAGAAAAGGAAAGAGATGAAACAGGGAAGGGAGGGGAGGAAGGGAGGAATGGCTTAAAGTTGGAAGAGAGGAAGGGAGGAAGAAAGGAAGGGAGGGAGGAAGGAAAGAAAGGAGAAGGAAAGAAGGGAAGAAGAGAAAGAGATGAAACAGCACTGAAAAAAAAAGTGACCGATGATCATTTTTCACCCTTACACGGGTCACAGGATCAAAACTCGCACGCTTGAAGAGTTCCAGAATTATCTTTTAATATTCCAGTTGCACCAAGAGGAAAGCAAGGCAAGCTGGGGAGGGAGGGAAGACCTGGGATCCAGATCAAGTTGGAGAAAGCCATTTTTTGCTTCCCGAGGGAGGCGTGAGGCAGACAAATGACGGGTGGACTTTCCGACAATCAAAAGTTGCTGCTCCCTTCACATCCTCGAAAATGTTTATAATAAAGCAAGGGGAAAAAAAACCCCACTGAATTCTCAAAATCAGGCTCTTGCTTGATCCCAATTCCACCCCCCCCCCCCCAGTAGGCAGGAGGGAGCATCATCAGATCTGAACTAGCCGCGACGGGATCCTGCTAAATGAACACCTGGGAATTTCTCCCCAACATCCATCTAGACCAGGGGTCTTCCAACTTGGCCCTTTGATGACTTCTGGACTTCAACTCCCAGAATTCCTCAGCCGGGCATATCTGGCTGAGGAATTCTGGGAGTCGAAGTCCACAAGTCATCAAAGGGCCAAGTTGGAAGACCCCTGATCTAGATTCCTTCAAATGTCATTGGCCACATCATGCTTTTGGATAGAGGTCGTGGTGGCGGCTTTTCCCCAGTTCAGATCCCTCTGGATCAAACAGACAAGCTTCCCCACCCTGGAGAGCTCAAGAGAAGCAACTCCCCATCGACTGCAACCGATCCCAGTTTATCTGCCACAGATTTAAGGATGCCAGCATATTATCTCGGCTTCTGCTGCTGCCATGGGCAATCCATCCTGGCATAGGAGGGTCCCGAGATCACTCTGATGGGAAGATGTGCAAGCCAACCCAGCCTCTTCCAATGAGTGTAATGCAAAAAAATAAAGCAAAAGGATGCGACTAAGTTCTAACTACGATCTAAAGTTAGCCAGAAAGGATGCAAACTCTGGGAGTGAGTGAGTGAGTGAGTGAGAGAGAGAGAGAGAGAGAGAGAGAGAGAGAGAAATTAATTCGCCGTGCCCACCCACCACCTCAGCAAAGAAGCTAACTGAAAAACCCAAAAGATTATCCCATAAAGCAGGGGTCTTCAAACTTGGCCCTTTGATGACTTGTGGACTTCAACTCCCAGAATTCCTCAGCCAGGCCCGCGTTGGGAGTCCACAAGTCATCAAAGGGCCACGTTAGAAGACCCCTGTCTTAAATCTAACCAACAAAATGGAGGCTGGCTGAGGAATTCTGGGAGTTGAAGTCCCCAAGTCATCAAAGGGCCACGTTAGAAGACCTCTGCCCTAGAGACCTTTCTCTTCTCCGCTCCTATTGGCTGTGAAGAAACATGGCCGCCTCTGGCTACCAGCAGGCTAAAACTACACGGTGGTGATCTTCTTGTCCTTGGTGGCTTGTTTAATGGCGGCCTGCTCGCAGATGATCTCCTTGAGGCGCTGCAACCTCATGTTTTGCGTGGTCTGGTCTCCCACGCCGGTCTGGCTGCGGTGGAGTAAGCTCAGGGCGTGGAGGTACTCCAGCTCCGTGTACTTCACGCCTTGGTCCACCACCAGGTTCAGCAGCTCGTCCGCCGTGTTGTAGAGCATCTCGTAGTACTGCCTGAAAGACAAAAAAACCCAGAATTTGCGTCATCATCATCATCACCACCTTGCTAGGGTCTTTTTGGGTTGTGTGTTTTTTTTTACTTTTTTTCACCCCTTCAGGTTTTCTGTAAGGCAATTATTACAAAAGGAGGTGACTCTTTGGGTGTCCCGTGCTTTGACCAGCCAGAAGATTTAAGAGGGGCCCTTGGTTTGTGAAGAGGAGGGAAAAGAAAGGTGGGCAAAAAAAGACGGCGAAGTCTCCTGCAGGAAAGGGCTTGGGATGGGATGAATTGAGATGGGTCATGAAATGTCTGCAAGAAAACCACCCAGTTCAGAGAGCACCAAGGACCCCACAGTTCTCCTCCTTCTCCTCCTCTCCAGACCCCCCCCCCTTTTAGCACTGATGATGTTACCTAGTTGGATCATGAAACATCTGCAAGAAAACCACCAAGCTCAGAGAGCACCCAGGAACCCACAGTTGTAATTGTCCTCCTTTCCTTCCTTAGATGGGATGGGAGGAATTTGGTTGGGATGGGTTGGGTTGGAATGGTTTAGGGTGGGTTGGGATGGGATGCAGTGGGATGGGATAGGTTGGGATACGTTGGGTTAGGATGGGTTGGGTTGGGATGAGAAGGAATGGGGTTGGATGGCATGGTTTGGGATGCGTTGGGTTGGGATGAGTTTAGTTGGGTTGGGATGAGTTTAGTTGGGTTGGGATTGGGATGCGTTGGGATGAGTTGGGTTGGGTTGGGATGAGTTTAGTTGGGTTGGGATTGGGATGCGTTGGGATGAGTTGGGTTGGGACTGGATGCATTGGAATGAGTTGGGTTGGGATGAGTTTAGTTGGGTTGGGTTGGGATGAGTTGGGTTGGGATGAGTTGGGTTGGGATTGGATGCATTGGGATGGGTTGGGTTGGGATGAGTTTAGTTGGGTTGGGATGAGTTTAGTTGGGTTGGGATTGGGATGCGTTGGGATGAGTTGGGTTGGGATTGGATGCATTGGAATGAGTTGGGTTGGGATGAGTTTAGTTGGGTTGGGTTGGGATGAGTTTGGTTGGGATGAGTTGGGTTGGGACTGGATGCATTGGGATGAGATGGTTTGGGTTGGGATGAGGGAATGGGATGGGATGGGATGCATTGGGATGGGTTGGGTTGGGATGAGTTTAGTTGGGTTGGGATGAGTTTGGTTGGGACGGGATGAGTTTGGTTGGGATTAGATGCATGGGGATGAGTTGGGTTGGAATGGGATGGGATGCATTGGGATGAGATGGTTTGGGTTGGGATGAGAGGGAATGGGTTGGGATTGGACACATTGGAATGGGTTGGGATGAGTTTAGTTGGGTTGGGATGGGATGAGTTGGGTTGGGATTGGATGCATTGGGATGAGTTGGGTTGGGATACATTGGGATAGGATGGTTTGGGTTGGGATGAGAGGGAATTGGTTAGGATGGGATGAGTTGGGATGCATTAGGATGGGATGGGAAGGACAAAGAGTAGCCTTCGGTCCAAAACATCTCCTTTTCTGCTCACTCCCTGCAGCCAAGGTCGGCCGTGGGGGAGAAGAGGGGTTTCCAAAGTCTACAGATTGTCCTTGGCTGGAAGAGCCCTGAGTCTGAGCTCAGAAAAGACCAGCTCTCCCTACTCTGGGTCAAGCTGGCAGCCCTCTTCCTGGCCCAGAAGCCAAGCTCCCTCCCTTCAGGACTGACCGTATCTGTCAGTCCTGGGAAGATCAGATTATTTTTAATTAAAATAAACCACCATTATCAAAAGGAGGAAGCAGCGTTCCTTTCGAGCTGTCGGCAATTGAAAACTCCCTTCGCTTGGCCTGTTCTTGCCTTTGGCCACTCGGGCAAATGTTTGGGAAATGATTTGTTTGATGAAGCGCTCCCTCGGTGTGTTTGCCTCCCTTGTCGGGGAAATGTATTAATAAATATTGATCAGGAGGGCTTCCTGTTTTCTTTCGCCTAAGCAATTCGATGCAGCTCCTTTCTCCCGATGTTATCAAATAATGAAATATGGGCGAGTTCGTGAAATCCTCCCTGTCAGCCCACTGTCTCGTTCAGTGTTTCTCAACCTTGACCATTTTAAGGCATGTGGACTTCAACTCCCAGAATTCCACAGCCAGCATTGCTGGCTGTGGAATTCTGGGAGTTGAAGTCCACATGCCTTAAAATGGTCAAGGTTGAGAAACACTGGTCTAGTTTAACGAAGAGAAGGACAAGAGGGGACATGATAGCAGTCTTCCAATATCTCAGGGGCTGCCCCAAAGAAGAGGGAGTCAAGCTACTCTCCAAAGCGCCTGAAGGCAGGACAAGAAGCAACGGATGGAAATTAACCAAAGAGAGAAGCAACCTAGAACTACGGAGAAACTTCCTGACAGTGAGGACAATTAACCAGTGGAACAACCTGCCTCCAGAAGCAGTAAATGCTCCAACACTGGAAGTCTTTAAGAAGAGACTGGACAGCCATTTGTCCGAAATGGTGTAGGGTTTCCTGCCTGAGCAGGGGGTTGGACTAGATGACCTCCAAGGTCCCTTCCAACTTTACTACTATTACTAGATCTTTCCTAGGTCTGGCTTCCCTCCGGCAGCCGGAAATATTCCTGTCTTAGTTTTGGGGAGAGAGGCCAGCGAACACGTTTTGGCAGGAAAATTCACTTTGATTCATGCCACATTTCCTGCTGTTTGTGCTTCAGTAAAACTGGCCGTCTCACAGTAGTTACTGGTCCTGACCACCAGGGGGCACTATGGTTCGGACCAGCCCCAATATAGACAGTCCTCGACTTAACGACTGTAATTGGGCCTAGCAATTCAGACAGTGTGCTGTGATAGTTGCAAAGCAGGTCCTCATCGTGTGATTGACCCGATTTTATGTCTTCTGCCCCCCCCCCCAGCGGTTGTAAATTGAACGCAGCAGTTGTAAGGTGAAATCAGCTGCTGTTTAGCGAATCCATTGTTTGCTATGGGCTGATTGTTGCTGTAAACTGGAAGTAAACCCTGGTTTTTGGGGGAGGAAAACGTGGCAAATTGTGGTCAGGTAACCGTGTGGCAGGTGCCAACTTTGGGGAGCTTATAACGGGAAACCAAGAAATAGCTGCCATGTAAGACAAATGGGCAGAAGAGTAGTGGAGGGCAGCCTTGAACATCAAGTAGCAGTCGGAAGCCTTGATGACGATTCCTTAACGACACAACACACGGACAGACGTCATCATAGTTTCAGCTGGGAAACTGAGTCCCAAAACACTAGAGAATTCCTGGAAGCCTCAAGACTCATCAGCCATCAACAGGCACAGAGAGATAAACGACATCTACCCACCATTCAGAAAAAGACCATCAAAAAGCCAAACAGGAAACAGAAAGACCAAAACACCCCCTTGCCAGCAACCAACACCCAGATGAGCAGAAATTAACACCAAGGTTAACACCAGAGCAACAATCAAGTCAAACAATACCATAATCAAGGAACTATTGGTTCAGACAAAGAATCGAATTGTAAAAGGTAGACTAATCAAGGGATCATCAAGAACTGACAGAGCAAACGGCACCTCCTTCTAGCATTGATGATGTTACCTAGTTGGGTCACGAAACGTCTGCAAGAAAGCAACCAAGCCCAGAGAGCACCAAGGACCCCACAGTTGTAATTGTCCTCTTCCCTTCCTCCCTCTCCTCCTCCCCCTCCCCACAAATGCCAATTCCTTCTAGCACTGATGATGTTACCCAGTTGGGTCATGAAACGTCTGCAAGAAAACCACCCAGCTCAGAGAGCACCAAGGACCCCACAGTTCTCCTCCTCCTCCTCCTCCTCCCAGAGAGCAGCAAAAACCCCACAGCCATCCTCCTCCTTCTCCTCTTATATGCAAATCCCATTCCATTCTACGTTAGCACCGATGATGTTCCTTAGTTGGGTCATGAAACGTCTGCAAGAAAACCATCCATCTCAAAGAGCACCAAGGACCCCACAGTCCTCCTCCTCCTCCTCCTCCTCCTCCTCCTCCTCCTCCTCCTCCTCTCCACAACCCCCACTTCTAGCACTGATGATGTTACCTAGTTGGGTCATAAAACCTCTGCAAGGAAACCACCCAGCTCAGAGAGCACCAGGGACCCCACAGTTGTAATTGTCGTCGTCGTCGTCCTCCTCCTCCCCTTCCTCCTCCTCCTCCTCCCCCTCCTCCTCTCCACAACCCCCCCTCCCTTTTAGCACTGATGAGGTTACCTAGTTGGGTTATAAAATGTCTGCAAGAAAACCACCCAGCTCAGAGAACACCCAAGACCCCAAAGCTCAACATTTGAGCTACAGACACACAAACATTAAAACAAACCACTCAGGTGCTTGATCCACAATCACCAATCCATTGGATCATAAAATTCTTAGGACTCCATCCTGGTGCCTTATAGTTTTGATTCTTCTTCACCATCCAGAATTCCTTCTGCTAGATGGGGTAGCTATATAAGCTTATTAAATGAATTATTACCTCTGAAACGAGGCAGCGGGTGCTGGAGTTAAAGAATCAGCAACGATTTGGCCAAGAGGAAGAACCGTGATTTGGAGCGCCTGAATCAGAAACCCAGGAAATTATATTTTTTAAGAGGAAAACAAATGAACAATTACGTCGTGATGCTTACTGGCGTCTTGAATCCGCCTGGAAAGTAAAGCACAATTATTGTTTTTTCGAGAAGAGGATCTTGGAAGATCAGGGTAGAGAAAAACGTATGATTTGAGCAGCAGATTTTAATGGAATAATCATAGAGGAAACGCATGCCAAAGATAACACAGCTAATCGCTTCCAAATCTTTCTTTTTTTTTTTCCTTTTAAAAAAAAAAGTAGGATAATTTCCTGGCTGGCTGTCAGACAGGCTGCAATCCTACTGAAAAAGGTTGTTTCCTTTCTTTTTTCTCAATGCCAAATTACATTTATTTGAAAATGGGGTGTTTTTCTATTTAAAAAGAAAAGAAAAAAAGAACCGAAAAGAAACCAAAAGCCAGATTTAGGCAGGTAACTGCAGGAAGAGGAGACAG